ATAGTTGAGAGGTAGCAGCCCATCTAAGAACACATCGCTAGGATGTGGTAGAGATGAGATTGGAACCCAGAACCCAGATCTGTATGGTGCCAGAGCCCTGTTCCTAACCACTGTGTAGCTCAGCTCTGCCAGCTGCAGGAAATTAAAAATGCCACCCTGTTACCCCCCTCCATCCAGACACACGCGCTTACATTCTGCACAGGAAGACCACGGTTAGAAGAAACGTGGAGGACTGTTCCGCGGGCGGGGAGAGGAGGGGGAGGCTTCCAGTTGCCGTGGTCACCAGGCAAGGGGGTGGCTGTGATGTCAGATGCAATCTGCTGGCACGGTTGGTGCCTGGCATCGGGGCTCTGGTGCTGGCTGGTTGCCTCTCCCCCATATGGGGGCTCCTGGCAACAAACTGGCCTCAGTTATCCTCAGTTACATCCTGCCAGGGGCCTGCAAAGCCTTGGGCCCTCTGCCTGACCCGCAGGGATGACAAAGGGGGCCAGGCCACACTGTCCCAGCCTCTCCTGTGGGCAGCTGCTCCTCCTGGGGCGGGCCCACAAGCTGCCGCAGGAAGGGCCAGGGGTGAGGCCTGTGAGATGAGAGCTGGTGTCAGAGCATGTGTGGGCCCTCTGCAGCTTCCAGGTCCCAGCCCTGGGCTGCCTGCAACTCAGCATGGCTGACATTGGCACCAGCAGCCAGAGGGTCACCCAGCCTGCAGGGGGAGAGCCCAAGTCCTATCACTGGTGGGACCCACTCTGGGACAAATGACACAGACTTGGGGGACAAGGATGCCTGAGCCATCAGAGGGAGAAGGGCTAGTCAGGGAGGACATCCCGGAGGAGGTGACCTCTGGTGGAAGTGAAAACATAGATAGGCAGAGCAGAAGGCAAGGGCCCTCCAGGAAGGGGGGACTGCCACAGGCAGAAGTACAGAGGCAGGAAAGAAGGGGTGGGAGGCAGGTCTTGCCAAGGGTATGAGCAGGCTGGAGCAGAGGGTGAGAGGAGGTGAATGACACCCAGGTTTGGTGAGAAGGAGGAGAGAAGAATATCCTGTTGTTGTTTTCTATTTTCTGGCCGTACCGTGTGGCACGTAGGATCTTAGTTCCCCGACCAGAGATCGAACCCGTGCCCCCTGCAGTGGAAGCGCGGGTCCCAACCACTGGACCACCAGGGAAGTTCCAGAATATCCTATTGTTGGTGATAATAATAACCAGCAGGCAGGCTGTTGGGCCCTCATGCTTGTCTCACTGAACCCTCGAGGGAACCTCAGAAGAAATACATTATTATTCTTCCCATGTGAAACATAAGGAAACTGAGGCTCAGAGAGACGGAAGAACTTGCCCACATCCCACAGCATGACTGGCACAGCTTGGCCTGGAGTGAGACGGAGAGCATCGTTCTCCCTCTCCTCCCCAGCCATTCGAGGAACGGCTAGCAGGATGTGACTAGCTTTCTGAAGGAGATGACGTCATTTATTCAGTCACCAAATCAGCTTTAAGCACCTGCTGTGCCAGGCCTGGTTCTAGGCCCTGGAGATCTCCAGGGAGCAAAGGTTCTGCCCTCCTGGAGCTGCATCCCAGCCCCACTGGGAGGAGGAGGGAAGTGAGGACTTGGGTTTGTCAAACTGGCCCCCCAGGCTACCCTGAAGGGCCATCTTCCAACAGGGCTGGACCCTTCCACTTCCTGGCCCACCCTTGAGGGTTTTGTTTGTTTGTTTGTTTGTTTATTTATTTATTTATATTTTTGGCTGCGTTGGTCTTTGTTGCTCGAGCACCGGCTTTCTCTAGTTGAGGTGAGCGGGGGCTACTCCTCATTGCGGTGCGCAGGCTTCTTATTGCAGTGGCTTCTCTTGTTGCGGAACCTGGGCTCTAGGTGCGTGGGCTTCAGTAGTTGTGGCACGTGGGCTCAGTAGTTGTGGCTCGCGGGCTCTAGAACTCAGGCTCAGTAGTTGTGGCGCACGGGCTTAGTTGCTCCATGGCATGTAGGATCTTCCCGGACCAGGGCTCAAACCCGTGTCCCCTGCATTGGCAGGCGGATTCTTAACCACTGCACCACCAGGGAAGCCCCACCCTTGAGGTTTTATTTGAGCCTCTCCTGGGTGCTGGGGCTTTTGAGATAAATCAGCCACCTCACCCCTACCTCCTGTCCCTGGAGTTCACTCTAGAGGGATGGGGATAACCAGGATGGGCTTCCTGGAGGAGGCTGCTGGTGTCCAGAGAAATGAGGGGGTATTGAGCTGGAAGAAAGCTGAGTGAGCCAGCAGGCTTTCTGAGGATGTAAGGAGTGAGCAGGGCTGAGGAGGGGCTGGGGAAAGGGAGGCAAAGCTGAAGAGGGAACGCCCTGATGTCCAGGTGAGGTGTCTGGATTACCTGCCTTGGGGATGACCGGAGGGAAGGTGTGTCCCTACCCTTCCCCAGGATGAAGATGTATAGAGTAGCCCACACCTGGGAGCTCCAGGGTCACAGCCCACCCCTTTCCCGCTGCATGACCCTGGGCAAGTCACTACACCTCTTTGAGCCTCAGTTTCCTCATCTGGAAACTGAGTTTTCTCAAGTTGCAACAAGGGTGAAAAAGAGGGCTTACGTGCGAACTGCTTAGCACAGTGTGGCTTGCTGCAGCTGCTCAAGAGGATGCTATCTGCAACCACGTGTCCATCTTCCTTGCAGGGGGAGAGAAACCCCTAGACTTCGTGCGTGTCCTCCTTCCCCTCCCTGAGATCTGAGACCTCCTTGGGTTCCATCCCAGACCCCAGCCAACCCCACCCAGCCAGACAAATGTTTATTGCACATCTGTCCAGTTCCCAGGGCAGGTGTCCTGTCGGGGAGACGGAGGAAGTGTTTGCTCCCTCTCTCCCGGGGTGCCGGGTGATGACACGGTGGGTGGCCCCGCCCTGCTGCAAGTTAACCACGGGGCAGAGTCTGGGCTCCCTTGAGCTGGGCACTCTGATGAAAGTCTGTACAGGGCACCTCGGGTCACAAGGGGACATGGAGGAGGGCTGACACTGGCCTAGGGGACCACATTTGAGGGGGCAGAAGACTTGGGGGTGTTTATCCTGGAGATGGGACGCTAGGACATCATCCTTAAAGGTATTAGTTCTAGCAGCCGCCATTTACTCAGCACCTACTGTGTGCCAGGCCCTGCTTTAGTGCCTCACCACAAGGACCTCATCTAGTCCTCACCCGCACCCTGTGCAGTAGGGACCACCCCATCTCCATTTTAGAGACAAGACACTGAGAAACAGGGAGGTGCGATGACTTGCCCAGGCAAGGCCAGAACTCAACCAGGTCTGTCTGTCCTCAGAGCCTATCATTTCTAAGGAACTGTCAGGAGGAAAGGGAGGTGAGTTTTTCTGCATGGGTCCCAAGGGGCCTGGCAGGGAGGTGAGCTTTTGTTCAGTATAGGCAAGAGTTTCCAACAGCTGAAGCTGTTCCCTGATGTATAGATAGTGAGTACCCCACCCCTAGAAGTATTTAAGCGGAGAGAGTGGAGATTCAATTTGATGACTTCAGAGCTCTCTTCCAGCTTAACAGTGGGCTGTGAGGTGGCAGGGATGAGTCGGGAGGGTGGTGTGTGTGTCTAGGGGAGGGGTTGTCAGATGAAGACCAGTGGCCACAGGGCAGAGGAAGGGGTGGATCTGAGGTCCCTGTGGAGAAAGAATGGGCAGGATGTAGTGAATAATGGGAGAGGGAGTGACCTATTCTCCTGGGCAATGCTTTGGGGGTAAGAGGTAGGAGGCCAGCCAGGGTGCCCTTGAGAATGGCCAGATTCTGGGGATCTCTGGAGGTGGCTGGTCTGTGGAGATGCTAGTCAGCTGTAGACAGGGGGCAGTCCAGTGTACAGCTGGAGAATGGGGCAGGACCAGAGGAGCAATGCAAGGGGAATTTGGGGGCTTTGGCTAAGTAATTTGGAGGGGAGAAGGTGAAGGCCTGGGGTGCCCAAGAGGCAGAGACAGAGGACCCACCTCATGCTACCTGGCGGAGATGAGCTGCTCTGGTGTGGACCAGCCCCAGGAAGGTCAGTGCTGACAAGGAGGGTAGCTCCCATTAGGAGGGGGCTCCAGCAGCCTGGAGGCCCAGGCCTGGTGAGGGGCCTGACGGAGGTGGTCTAGAATTGGCAAAATGCAGGTAGGCCTGAACCCGGAGGCTCCCGCGGGGGTCCCAGTCCAACCACGCCCATCTGCTAGCTTCGGTAATTAGGGAAGCGGGGAGGTGTGCCTGGGGCTGGGTGGCCTGCCTTCTCAGTGGGATCCCTGTGTCCCCAGACACTATCTCCACCTCCAGTCCTGAGGGCAGAGTTATTCTAAACTCAAGATGCTGGGAACCACCAAAGGGCGGAATGGCCCCCTTTTTCAGGACCTGCTAGGCGTGGGCCAGGAAAAAAGAGGGAGGCACGGAGCAAGGCGGGCCCGTTTCTCAGGCGCCGTGGAGGGCGCCGTTCAGAATCCAGCGGAAGCGAGCCTGGCTTGGGGCGATTCCCGGGACGGGCTGGGCCTGCGGGTTTCCCCCCACCCCGCCTGGACCCCGGGGGCAGCGTCCCGCCACGGGCCCTAGGCGGGGGCGGGCGAGCTCGGGTCTTCAAGCCCAGGTTAAAGACTACAGACTTTGAACTTTTCGCAGGTCTGTAAAGGGCAGCCCCCTCGGAAACAGTGACAAGCGCCTCCTCCCCTCTGTCCACAGCGCGGACCCTAGATTAGCTCCAAGCGCCGGCCGGCCCTCCTGCCACCCCCCTGGGCCGCCGGGTGGGGCGCCGGGCCCTTCCCGGGACCGCAGACCCTCCCCCGTCCCAGCCGGGCGCGCCGATGGTACGTCCCGGCCCGCCCAGGTGGTAGCGCCCGCGCCGGCCTACCGTAATTCCCCTACGCCCAGCGCCCCTAGCCGGCGCAGAGCGGACCGAGCCCGCCGGGCGGCTCCGGTCCCCCTCTCCCCGCGGCCCCGTCGGACTCTGGCAGCCTTGGCCCGAGCCCCAGCCACTGGGGAGGAGAACCTTGTCCCTAGGTGAGTCTCACGGGGAAGCTGGGGTCCGGACGGGGGTGGGTCCGGGCGCCAAGACTCTCCCTGAATGAATGGACAGAACCCTGGGTGGAGGGTCCCGCACAGTCCTAGGCCAGCAGGTGGGTGTCGATGGGCGCCACTGGCCTTGCCTCCGCTTACTTGAGGGTGGAATGGGCTCCAGCGCCCGCCTCCACAGTGACTCTAGGGTGCGGTCGGCTGGGAGACATGGTCGTGAGGAGTCTGCAGGGCCCCAGCCCTGGTGTGAGGGCTGCTGGTGGGGCGAGGGCATCTGAAGGGGCTTTGGCGCGGCTTGGTTGGGTGGTTTCGGCGACCTTGCCCCATCTGGGCGTCCGAGTCGGTCCCAGGCGGAAAGCCCTCTCGAGGCCGGCAGGGGGCGCGAGAGTCTGCACCTCAGGCAGCCTGGGCCAAGCCTGGCCCCCGCTAGGGGGAAGGGCAGAGGGACAGGACCCACGAAGCCAGGACAGGCCCTGGCCCACCTTGATGAAAGACTGAGGACTTGGAGGCCCAGGGGGCCCAGGGCCCCACAGATTCCTCCATTGCCTTCCCCAGGTTTGGGGGGCTCTAGGAGGATCTCACTATTTCTCTGCCCCTTTGCCAGAGTCCAGGCACACAATGGGACCCAGCAGCCATGCCTAGATAGAAGATTCTAGAGAACTGGCCAGTGCCCTCTTCACACAGGTGGGGAAGGGCAGAGGGGTAGATGGGCCCCAGAAGCAGGTCTCCCACAGCCCAGGCCTGTGCTCTCTGCCCCACTCCCTCCCAAGGAGCCTTTTGTGTGGCTCTGAAGAAAGAGGCGCCAGGAGAAGGGCACAGGCTGCCACGCCGGGGTCCTGTGCAGGGACTGGGCAGGAGGTGAAGTTCATGAACCACAGCCTTTCCTTCTCCCCCTAGCACCCACCAGTCCCAGCTGTTCGGCTCCCTGGGGAAGAAGGGGCCTTGCTGGCTTCTGCAGCTGGTGCAGTAGGGCTGGCCTGCAGAGAGGTGCTCTACACCCCTGCCATCTGCCCTGCACAGGGCAGGGCCTTAGGGCAGGCTCTGTGTCCAGGTGGACCCCAGGATGAGGGGTGAGGCCGAGGCCTAGGGGAAGGGAGGAGCCAGGTGGGCCGCTGGGAGCGGGAGAGCAGCCTGGCAGAGCTGGCTCCCCACCGGCTGACGTGCCCACGCGTGCGGCCTCCACCCCTGGATTTCCAAGGTACCAGATGGGGCCCTGGGGCTGGTAGTCTCCCAGGGGAGCTTAGCTCAGATAGGGAGCCCCTGGGCAGGGGTATCCCCCTGGCCAGGGAGCCCCAACTCCTGGTTCTAGGCCAGTCTTCTGTGGACAGAGCACAGAACTGGCTCCAGACCTTGGTCCAGACCTGTGACCTCTCCTAGACAAGGAGCTCCCTCTCCCACTGCAGACCAGGCTGGGGCCCCAGCCCGCTGTGGGGGAGGGGATGCCCACAGGCCTCTGCTTTTCTGGGGCTGGGGAGGTGGTGCTGGGCGGGAGTGGGAGGGGGGCTCCTGCCTTGGTGACTCCATTATTCATCAGCCCCAGCATCTGGTTTCTCGGTATCAGTTTCAACAAGCCAGTCCTGACTCATGAGCCTGGAGCTGCGGCTGGGCTGGGGAGGGGCCCCCTCCCCAGGGAGTCAGGGGCTGGGACCTTTTGGGCCTGCGCATGGGCCATTTCAGCTCTCTTGTGTAGAGAGGAGGTGGGAACCTCAGAGCCTGATGAGGCCTCCTCCCTCCCCTGGTGCAGGGGCCTGGGGTGCCTTTCCTCCCCTGCTCTGCAGGTTCCTTGACCCTGCACTCTTGGCTCTGGGGCAACAGGGCCCTGGCTTTCTAAGGAGCAGCCCCAGCCCTGGATGGAGGACCCAGGCAGGAGCATGATTCAGGGTGGCCAGAACCTGGTCACTCAGGTGACCTCTGGTGACCTGTCCTGGCCCAGCCCTGATGGTCTCCACTTGATGCAACCTGGTTACCCTAGGCCAGTGGGCTTGGGGATCTGCCCTGTCCCCAAGGGGGTGGACCTCAAGGCCCTGCTGCCCAAACCACCACTTGGCTGGCCTTCATGTCCCCATGCCTTCTCTGTGCCTGAGGCACATGGGTAGTGGTCCAGTGGGCATCTGCTGTTAGTACTAGTCACTTTACCTTTCCGAACCTCAGTTTCTTTGTCTGTTGAATGGGGGTAGTACCAGTGTTTCCTCCTTACGGTCTTTTAGAAGAGTGAACAGGACTTGGCACAGGCCTGGGCACTTGGGACTGCTCAGCGGCTGGCCACGGAGGGCAGCAGTAGGGGCAGGGGGCATGCGCAACACCTCCAAGCTTTGAGGTGGAAACGGACCTGCCTGGGGCCAGCAAGCCAAGGTCATGGATGCTAGGAGGAAGGAGAGAACCTGTGGACAGGCAGTGGGGAATGCTTTGTTGACTGTTGGCCACAGAAGGGGACATCCTGGCCAAGACCTTTCAGGCCCCAGTGGCCTTCTCTGGCACGAAGCCCCTTCCTCCGCTTTCATTCATCCATTTATCATCTAGTCTGCACAGAGCATCTACGGTGGCCAGGACTATTCTAAGTGCCGAGGATGAAGTGTGGGCCAGACAGCCAAGACTCCTGGCCACTGGAGAGGATAGTCTAGCAGGGAAAAGTGATAATCAAGAAGTGAACAAAGAAATAAAATAATTTCAGGTAGTAATAGCTGCTTCGGAGGAAATAATTCAATGTAAGGGGTTTGAGAGTTCCAGGGTAAGGGGCTATTTATTTTGAGAGACGGGTGAAGACCTCCTTGGGAGGTAGCAGTTAAGGTGGGGCCCAGTGCCAGCTGTTGGAAGATCAGGGGCACGTTGTGTCCCAGACAGAGAATGCAGAGGTGCAGGCTCTGAGCTTGGTGAGTTGTAGGGATGAAGGAATCCAGCACGGTGGACCACCCTGTGGAACTGGCCAGAGGGCACGGTAGGAGCCAGGCCACAGTTGGGATTTTATTTTAAGCAAGATGGGAAGCCACAGGAGGGTTTGTGGAGGAGTGACATGATCAGGCTTTAGTTTACAAGAGATGTGCCAGTGGTGTGGACAGGGGGATGGCCCAGGATTTGGGAGCAGAGGGGGTCCTGGAAAGCTCCCGGCCCGAATAAATTGCTGCTCTCCCACCCTCTTTCCACCCAGAACCATATTGAGGGGGAGCTGACTAGGGGATGGGAGGGGGCTGATGACAGCATGTCCCCCTCCCCCATGGGTCCTGAGGAGTTCCCCAGGGAGGCCATTCCAGAACCTCAGAGTCAAAAGTCTGGGTGTCAGTCCTGCCTGTGGACTTTTCCCTCACTTTATCCGCCACGCGATGAATGAAGATAACAGTGCCCCCCTCCGCCTCCCGGGAATGAGTGTAAAAGCGCTTTGACAACCTACAGTGGGGACCCCGGCACCCCAATCCTGGTCGGCGTCCTCGCCAGTCTCTGATGAGCGCCCCCTGGCGGTAGGGCACCCGGAAGCTCCCGCGTGGCCCCTGGGCCGGAGGGACCAGCCTGCAGCAGCAGGGGCCTCACAGAAAGCTGAGTTGGGCTGCGGGGTTTTCCGCGACACCCCCGTCTCACTGTGCTCCTGGAGGCTCCCCAAGGACTACCCTCTCCGCCCCGCGCGCCTGCCTTCTGCCCGCCGCCTCCACCTGTGGTCACCGGCGCCCCTCTGCTCCTCTGCCAGCACCACTGGCCTAGGCAGTGGGAGCGGGGGTCCCCCGGGCTCAGGCTCTGAGCCGGGGGTCGCTTGGATTGTGGGCGGGCACTAAGAGGACCCTCAGGAGGGCCTCTGAGCGCCGGCTGTGGCTGAGGCGGGGAAGTCGGTGGTCAGAGCAGAGACAGATGTCCTCGGAGCTGGACAGGGAGCGGGGGTCTGAGGACCCGGAGAGGGATGTGTCCCTGGTCTGGTCCCCCCTCTTCTGCCGCCAGCATGAAGGGAGTTCCCTCAGGGGAGGGGGAAGAGGTCCCCCGGGCTGAGGCTCTGGGGCGGGGGTCCCCAGGGCTGGGGGGAAGGGACTGAGATGCCCTTTCGGCCGGGAGGGATCTCCTGTGCCCCAGCCGTTTGCGTTGGGGTCGGGATGGAGGTCTGAGCAGAGTGGGGCGCCCGTGGGACTGGGCGGGGGCCGGGATTCCGCAGTCAAGGCGAGGGCGTTTGTCACCGGCGGGCCCCCTGCCCCCAGCATCCAAGGAGTTCCCCTGGAGGAAGGAGGAGGTCCGGGAGGGACCCTCTGAGCCCGGGACCTTTGGGCCGGGGGTCAGAGCCGGGCTGCGGGCGGGAGGGTGGGTGTTCCCCGCCCCCGGGGTCCCGGCGCGCTCAGCGGGCGGGCGCGGCCGCACAATGGCAGGAAGCGGGGCTCCGCGCTTTGTCCGGCGGGCGGCGCAGACCGCCGCTTCCTCCGGCCGCCATGGGGACGGGACCCGGCGTCTCCGGGCGCCGCGCGGCCTCCAGGCCGAGCCCCGGGCTGCCCTCCCGGGACTCCGAGCCCGGCTGGGCGGGGGGTCGCGGCCGCCACGGGGAAGACCAGGTAGGGGAGCGGGGGGCCGGGCGGGGAGGCCGGGGCGGGTGCGCGCGCCCTCGTCCGCGCGCGTCTCTAAGCGGATGGGCAGGCGGCGGCCGAGACCCCTGCTCCGGGTGCACACCGCGGGGGTGCGGGGGGCGATGAGGGCCTGGGGGCCTGGGATGTGTCCCCCACCCCGGCACCAAGGGTGCCAGGCAGCGGAGGAGACCGCCAGCGCCTGGCCTTTTGTGTCTGGGGCTGACTCCGGACACACCTGTGGGTCCCAGGCCCTGGACTGGGCCACCCCTCCCCCTTTCCTTCCTCTGCCCAGGCCCTGCCCACACCCCTCCTACTCCTGCCTCTGGCCAACACCCTGGTGTGACAGGGAAGACTGACTTCTTGTGCCCCCATCCCTGTGGGGATCAGCCTAGACCATGATCCCCAAAGGGCCCGGCCCCCCGTTATTTGTAAAATTGTGGTCCATTCTTTGCCTGTGGAGATGCAGCGTGACCTGGCTGTTCTATCTGGTGGGCTCGCCCCTCTCTGGCTGAGTCCTGGGGACCTTTGGTCCTGGACCCTGCTGTCCGTCTCTGGCTGGCTGGGGTGCTGTTACCCTCAGAGGGTGGGCGTGGTGGGCAGCAAGGAGGTGGGGAGTAGACCCTGGGTCTGAGAGAAGAGGCCCAAGAATCTGGCTTTGGGAAGGGGCTGCCCTGCTATAGTGCTGGGGAGACCCCCAACCCTGGAGGGGATGGAGGTGAGAGAAGGGGTGGGGAGCAAACAGTGTGGGCTCTGCCCGCCCGAGGGGGGTTCTCGGAACTTCATCCTCAACCAAACCTGCTGAATACTCACCTGCTTCAGATCCTGGGCCTGACTCACATCGCCCCTGGTGTCCCTGAGCCTGGGGGCTGCTGGGAGGATGGGAGCAGAGGAGGTCAGCCCGTCGTTATTATTAGCGTTAGTGTCTGGTAGTAATAGTAGTAGCAAGAGGAGAAGGAGAAGCTGTGGCGGAGTTAAACAAGGCCCAGCACGGTGCTGGGAAATGAATATTCCCGAGTCTCTCCAGCCCAGTGCCCTTGCAGGGCAGGGTACATAGAAGGTGCTTGATAAATATTTGTTGAATGCTAAATCTGCCTTAAAGAGTGAATCTTTGTGAAATCTGCCATCTATATACTGGATTGGTTTAAAAACGAAATTGTGGCACAGAACCAGGGACTTGGGCTGGAAGGGTCCCAGAGACCGCCCCCACCCCAACCTTTACAACCTAGCATGGCTCCTGCCATGTCCAGGTAGGAGACCAGGGCCTGGGCAGCTGGTAGGTCTGCAGTCCCACTGCCCAATGCCAAGCCTAGAACCAGAAAAATGAAGCTGTCAGGGAAATGGCGAGAGGCCTGGAAGGGGTCAGGGGGGCACCTGTGCCAGCCTGGCTGCCAGGCTGGACACAGAGGGTAAGAGGGCTGCCGAGCTGGCAGGCTGTGGGACTCCTGGGAGGAAAAGACATGTGCTTTCCCCAGATTTGTTGTCAGGAGGTGATGCTCACGACCGTGGGTCCCAGCATCTGCAAAGCTAGGCCCTCTGTCAGAAGTGCCCCGGGGATGCCAGAGGGTGGGGGGCAGAGCCATGGAGGAGAATAGGGGTTTTCACACTTTTTAAAAAATGTTTTGGGGGCTTCCCTGGTGGCGCAGTGGTTGAGAGTCTGCCTGCCGATGCAGGGGACACGGGTTCGTGCCCCGGTCCGGGAAGATCCCACATGCCGCGGAGCAGCTGGGCCCGTGAGCCATGGCCGCTGGGCCTGTGCGTCCGGAGCCTGTGCCCCGCAACGGGAGAGGCCACAACAGTGAGAGGCCCGTGTACCGCAAAAAAAAAAAAAAAAAAAAAATGTTTAGGTTGGTTGGTTTGTTTAGTCTTTTGGCCACACCACGCCGCGTGCAGGATCTTAGTTCCCCGACCAGGGATTGAACCCGTGCCCCCGGCAGTGGAAGCGCGGAGTCTTAATCACTGGATCGCCAGGGGAGTCCTCACACTTTAGCAGTAGATCAAGTGAAGATAGAAACAGCTGCTCTGCTTAGAGTGCCCCTCACCCTTGCCTCCAGCGCGGAGAACACCCTTGAAGACCCCTCAAGAAGGGTGTGGAAGTGTGGGGCGCCTGGTGCTCCGGCTGCCATTGGGAATATGGGCCATAATGCCCAGGGCTCAGCCCCCCAGAAGCCAGACCCCCCTGGAGCAAGTGGCTTCTGTAGTCTGCCTCCTGCCAGCTGTCATTTCTGTGTCCGTGTTCCCTTTCTGTGTGATGGAGGAGTGGAAGGGACACAAGAGCCAAAACATCAACCATAAAACTATTCAATGTAACTGATTTCCTCTTGTCTCCTTAGCCCCCCAGGCTGGCCCGAAGCCAGCCTCCCCCACTCCTCGCTCCCTTCTCCACTACTCAAGAGATGGTGTGAATGTGGTGAAAATGTGGGCTCTGAAGCTACATACCCTGGGTTCAAGTCCTGACTCCACTGGCTGTGTGACCTTAGACAAGTTACTTAACCACTCTGAGCCTCACTTTCCTCATCTGTAAAGTACAGACAATCGTAGCCCCCACCTTCTGGGATGAGGATTCCCCCAGTGCAGCCCCAGGCACATGAGGACCATGTTATCAATGATCAGACTTTTTCAGCTCCCTCTTTCCTCCTCTCTCGGGCCACTTTCTCTGCTGTCTAACCCATCCTCACCCTGTCTGTCATCTTGAAAATCTCTGATCGGACTCTCTCCAGCCAAGATCCCCAGTGATCCTCCATCACGCTACTTAATAATTGAACCAGTATTTATTGAGCGGCTAGGACTGGCGACCAGGCAGCCAGCCCGACGGGCCAAAATTGCTGTCCTTGTAGTGCTGGCGGTGTGGAGGCAACAAAGTGAAGCGCACGGACTGTCCACCAGTGGGAAGCCTGCAGGAGAGAAGGGCGGCGGGGTGGAGGAGGTGACCGGGAGCGCAGAGGAATGAAACCTTAGAAGGGTGAGACGAGGACTTGTGAGTGAAGGTCTGCAGGAAGGGAGGCGGCTGGTTGGTTATCTCAGCGTCTGAGGAAAAGCATTTCAGGCTGGGGGATTAGCAGAAGCCCAGGCTCAGCGGTGGAGCACGTCCGAAGAAGCACATCGGAAGGCGGGAGGCTGGTGGGCGCGGTGGACAGAGCCAGGATGGGAGAGCAGGACCGGAGGCCCCTGAGGTCACCAGCCTCGGCAGGAGATGGGCAGCCGCTGCGGGGTTTTGAGGAGGTACGTATGACTCCTCTTTGACCTGGGTCCACTGTGGCCGCTCACGGAGAGCAGACTGGGGTCAAGGGCAGAAGCAGGGAGACCGGCTCTGAGGCCTTGTCACCGGGGCCGGGGCCCGAGGTAGCCTGGAGAGGGTGGCCGGGTTGAAGCTAAGGATTTAATGTCTGCGGGTGGAGCCCGCAGAAGTGTTTGCCTGAGTGGGGGAGTAACAGAAAGATCATGGGTGTCCCCAAGGTGTTTGGCCTAATGTATTCTTGTCCTGGGGCTGCCGTAACAGATCAGGGTGGCTTTAGAGCAACAGAAGCTTGTTCTCTCAGTTCTGAGGCCAGAAGTCTGCAATTAAGGTGTGGGCCGGCCGTGCTCCCGCTGAAGCCTCCAGCGTAGGATCCTCCCTTGCTTCTCACAGCTTCTGGCACGTCTAGGAGCTCCTCAGTATTCCTTGGCTTGTAGGTGCATCAGTCTCGTTGCTGCCTCCATTGTCACATGGCCTCCTCCCTGGGTGTCCCATCTCTGTGTCTCTTCTCCTCTTCTTTTAAGGACAGTAGTCATACGGTTACTCCATACTCTATGCTGTATGATTGCAGACCCCAGTATGACCTCAGCTTAACGAATGACATCTGCAATGCCCATCTTTCCAATAAGGTCACGTTCTGTGGCGCTGGGGGTTAGGACTGAACCTGTCTTTCTGAGGGACACAATTCAACCCATAACATCACCACCCCCGGAAGGCGTTGCTAGTAATTGAGATGGACGGTGCTGCGTGGAAAAGTTCAGGAGCTCATGCAGACGTTTTATTTTTTTTATAAATGTATTTATTTTTGTCTGGGTTGGGTTTTCGTCGCTGTGTGCGGGCTTTCTCTAGTTCTACGCGAGCGGGGGCTACTCCACGTTGCAGCGTGCGAGCTTCTCATCGCGGTGGTTTCTCTTGTTGCGGAGCACAGGCTCTAGGCGCGTGGGCTTTAGTAGTTGTGGCTCGCGGGCTCAGTAGTTGTGGCTCGTGGGCTCTAGAGCGCAGGCTCGGTAGTTGTGGCGCATGGGCTTAGTTGCTCCAAGGCACGTGGGATCCTCCTGGACCGGGTCTCCATTGGCACGTGGATTCTTAACCACTGCGCCACTAGGGAAGTCCCTGTGCAGACGTTTTAAGTTTGAGATGCTTGGTCCCGACTGGAGAGTTCACTGTGGGAGCCCTCCCCATGAGAGTGACTGAGTCACTGGAGGGTGGATGTGGATAAAATAAGAAGGGGTCCACGGATGGTGCGAGAGCAGGAAGGAGGCAAGGGGACTGAGAGGGGAGGGAACCAGCAGAGCACGGGTCCTGGGGGCCGAGGAAGAAATGGTTCCCAAGAGACCACCTGTGTCAAATGCTGGGTCCTGTGAGAACAGACGAGAGGACTCAGAAACGTGGACATCACTGGGGACCTGAGAAGAGTGAGCTGGGGAGGGGGCCAAAGCTTGACGGGAGAGGGTCTGAGGGAAAATGGAAGAATTAGAAAATCTCCAATTGCAGCCATCGTAGTAATAACTGATTTAGGCAAAAGCCATCAACAAGGGCTAAAGCCCTGGAGTGTGCGATTGCTGGGGAGCAGGGTATCTCAAAGTGTCACCCCAAGATGACTTCCTCATTACAAAGAGAGAATGCGACTTTACAAAGTACAGCGAGATCCCCGGGTGACCTGACACCAGGGCACGCTGAGGAGGACACAGTCCACCCTCTGGCGTCCTGGCCCAAATGCTCAGCCTGAAACTACCCCAGACCTCCAGACAAGTCCACGTGGAGGACCTTTCTGCCAGCTGGCCTGGCTGCTTCAAATATATCAGTGTCATGAAAGATGGGGGGGAAAAACTAGGGCGTTCATTCTTTTTTTTTAATATTTATTTATTTATTTATTTTTGGCTCATCGGGTCTCAGTTGTGGCATGCCGGCTTAGTTGCCCCGCAGCATGTGGGATCTTAGTTCCCTGACCAGGGATCGAACCCGTGTCCCCTGCATTGGAAGGGGGATTCTCAACCACTAGACTACCAGGGAAGTCCTGGGCATTCATTCTTTTTTTTTTTTTTTTTTTAATGTTTATTTATTTTGCACCGGGGCTTAGTTGTGGCAGGTGGACTCTTTAGTTGCGGCTTGCCAGCTCCTTAGTTGCAGCACGTGGGCTCCTTAGTTGTGGCGGGCAGGCTCCTTAGTTGCGGCATACAGGCTCTTTAGTTGTGGCATGCGAAGTCCTAGGTGAGGCATGCATGTGGGATCTAGTTCCCTGACCAGGGATCAAGCCCGGGCCCCCTGCATTGGGAATGTGGAGTCTTATCCACTGCGCCACCGGGGAAGTCCCCGGGCATTCATTCTTAAAGGGATAAACAGACAAAACCAAATGTACATGTGAACCTTGATTGGATCCCATGTGGGAAAAAAAATCTATAAAGGACATTATTTAGACAGTTGGGAAAATGCCAAGGTAGACTCTAGGTGGACTAAGTATCATTGCTCAGTTTCCCAAGTGTGACAGTTGTGTTGTGGTTCTGCATGAGCAGGTCTGTGTTCTCAGGTGGTGTCATGATTTCCTCCCCAGGGGAAGGGGGTCATGAGCCAGTGTGGCAAATGTGAACAACTGGGGAAGCCAGAAGGGTGTATGGATGTCATTGTACTATTCTTATAACTTTCTGTAGGTTTGAAATATTTTGAAACAAAAATTCAGGGAGAAAGAAAATAGAAGGTAATGGGAGGAAAGAACAGGAAGGAGTAAGTTTAGCTGTAAAGGGAAGGAGAGAAACAGGTTGGTTTGCCCGTGGGAATGATCCAGTGAGAGGGATGAATGCTGAGCGGAGTCCTGGTTCTTAGGCTGGAGAGGGGGGTTTCGGTGGAAAACTGGCCTGGGATTGGAGCAGGGCAAAGCCCCTGCAGCCCGGGGCAGGGGGGTGGACGTGGTGGTAGGAGCTCATGGACCGCCTTCTGATGGCTTCTGTTTCCCTAGAAAAGTAGGCAGTCGGGTTGGTGGGGAGTGAGTTAGGGAGGGCTGGGGGTTGGAGAAGATAGGACAGTCATCCATGGTGGTGGGGATGAGAGTAGCCTGGGGCGATTGGGTAAGTCTGGGATCCTGTCACTAAGCAACGGGCCTTGGGTACCACATAGGCACCCAGAGGCCAACACCATTCCCTGAATCCTCCATAGTCCCCTTCACACCCTAACTTAGAAATCCAGGCGGGGTCAGCTGTTCGGGGGCCGCACAGGTCATAGAATCGAGGGCAGAGGCCCTGGGCAGGGAGGAGGGGGAGGTATTCTGTTTCAGACACTGAGTTGGGCAAACCAGCTGCCAGCCCCAGCTCCACTTTTTGGTGCCCTTTCTGCGTGCGCTCCGGCAGAGGCCCTGGGAGCACCCGCCTCGTGGTTACCTACTTGAAGTCTCCCCTTCGGCATCGCGTTCCTTGCGGGCAGGGCTTTGCTTTCTCTGCATCTCCCAGAATGGACACCTAGCAGGCGCTCGGGAAGCGTTTGACGGGCACTCTGTGGGGCGTGGGCGGTCGGACCTGAAGAGTCGCCCCCATAGGGGCCAGGAGCCCCGCGTACTGCAGTGGTCTGGGTCCACCCCACCCCCCCATCCTTCCCCTCACAGATATGCCACCACGCCGACTGCCAGCAGCTGCACCGCCGGGGCCCCCTCAGCCTCTGCGAGGCCTGTGACAGCAAGTTCCACGGTGCCATGCATTATGATGGGCACGTCCGCTTCGACCTGCCCCCCCAAGGTGAGCACGGGGAGGGCGCCCAGCCCCTAGAGCTCCCTGCCTGGGGGCACAGTGGCCTGCTAACTGTCGGCCGTCACGACAGGGCCATCAGAAGGACACGAGTTGACTGTAAACGATGAAACCCAAGTCCACTGCCGTCCCTTTTGTTCCACAAGTTTTTTAACAAGAGAAAAAGTTGGGGACCGGCCCAGCTCGAAGGCGGGTCTGTCTGCACCAGGTGCCGGGTCCTTCTTGATGGGTCTGCACCTCCCACAGCTGCCCCCGCCTCTGTCCCTGCCCTCTTGTCCTCAGGGCAGGGGATCTCTGGGCAGATTCTCCTGCCAGGCAGCCAGTGAGCAGAGGGTGGGGTGGGGATGGGCAGGTCGGAAGGAACTTGCAGCAGGAAACAAGAAACCCCTCCTGCTGAAAAGGGACCTGGCCCCGGCCTACTGCCAACTGGCTGTGCTGGGGTGGCTCTGGTCTACTTTCCCAGCTGGGCAGAGGGACCAAAGGACTCATCCCTTCTGCCAGGGCCTCCTGGGACTTTGGGTGTGGTCACCGTGGTGGGGGAGGGGACGCCTGCAAGAAAGAGCCATGGACTTTGGTTCCTTCCTGCAACAATCCCAGAGGCAGGGCTTCTTCATCCCTATTTAATAGATGGGTAAACTGAGGCAGACTTGTACTGGGGGCGGGGCATCACCTGGGGTGTCATCCCAGGGCCCTTGTGTCTTTTTGAGTCTGGGGGTGGATGATGATAGGCAGTGACTGAGTCCCTCCCCTCACAGAACTGAGGGGCCCTGGCTAGTTTGGGGTGGGGTCCGAAGGTCGGTAGCAGGCCCTGGTCCCTCTGGAGTCGGCCGTGTTGGGAGGCTAAGGAGGGGGCCAGGGAGGGAGCGGGCACAACCCCACTCCCACTTTACACCGAAGGCTCTGTCCTGGCTCGGAATGTGTCCACCCGGTCATGCCCCCCGCGCACCAGCCCTGCAGTGGACATAGAGGAGGAGGAAGAGAGCTCTGTGGATGGCAAGGGGTAGGTGAGGGGTTGGTGGGCACGGCAGACACCCGGGGGGTCCCAAGGCTGGGTCTCAGATCACAGAGCCAGGGACCAGAGGCTTCAGCAGAGCTGACTGGAGACCCCGCCTGGCCCCTGCTGCTGCCCGGATTCCTGGAGGGTGAGCCTCCAGGGCTTCTGGGATCAGACTCTACCTGACGAGGTACCGCTGGGTGTGACTCCCAGGTCGGCCACCAGAGGGCGAACAGCCCCTCGTGAGTCCTGGCTTGCCTGAGCGAACCTGAGTTACCTGGTCTCCTAGGGCCAGCAAGGGGTGGGCAGCCAGCTGGGGCCCGCCCATATCCCACCCTGGTGAGTGCTCACCCACGCCTCCAACCTCTGCCCTCACCGGCTTCCTTGCAGGGACCGGAAGAGCACAGGCCTGAAGCTCTCCAAGAAGAAAGCCTGGAGGAGACACACAGATGTAAGGAGCCCCCAGGCGCCCACAGCCTCTGCCCGTCCCGGGCCCTTTCCTCCGTTCCCAAGGCTGGGCCCGTCTGCTCTAAGTTCCAGGACCAGGGAGGGGGCCTGGAGTGAACGTGTCCCTCCCTTGCCACCCAGCCCTGTAGCCCAGCCCTGCTTACCTTAGCCCGGGTGGGGGATGCTCCAGCAGCCCCTGCCTCCACGGAGGGATGCCGGGTGCCTCCCTGGGACGGAAGAGGGCTGGGAGATCCCTGCGTTCACTTCCCTGCTGGGGCTCCCATCCGGAACCCTGGGGTGGGGAGGCTAGGGGGCGAGGGGTGCAGAACTGAGACCCCCTGTCCTGTCAGGACCCAAGCAAGGAGTGCTTCACGCTGAAATTTGACCTGAACGTGGATATCGAGACAGAGATCGTACCAGCCATGAAGAAGAAGTCGCTGGGGTAGGGCTTGGTGGGGAGAACGGGGCTGGGGGGCAGGTGTGGCCTCCTGCAGGTGTGACTATGTGTGGTGGCCTGTGAACAAGCATGTCCCCCACCTGTGGGCACCCCACCCATGTGCAGTGAGGGCCTGGGTGCCGTGTTTGTGTCCCAGCCCCTGCGCGTGGCCTAGTCCTGCGGGGGTGAACGGGTGTCGACGGACACGCGATGGTGTCTGTCTGCCCTGGAGTGCAGACGTGAACGTGTGAGGGCAGGGGCGTGTCGTCTCGTGTGTAGACACACGCAGGAGCGTGAACCTCTGTGGACAGGTGTGTGTGTGCACACGGACCTGTGTGTGATCCCCTGGGTGTCTCCTTTTCCCTTTGGGCGGGCAGGGTGGTGCTGGGGCTGTGGACAGGGTGGAGGTTCGCGTGACTGCCCCCAGCACACGCGCACCTCCTGTCCCGGGCAGGGAGGTGCTGCTGCCAGTATTTGAAAGGAAGGGCATTGCGCTGGGCAAAGTGGATATCTACCTGGACCAGTCCAACACGCCCCTGTCCCTCACCTTTGAGGCCTACAGGTTCGGGGGACACTACCTGCGGGTCAAAGGTGAGCAGATGACTAGATGGGCCGGGTAGCTGGGGCATGGCTGGGTCCCTTGGGGAGGGTGCTTCTTCCCAGGCTCAGGTTCCCATTGGCCATGGCCTTGAGCAAGCTCATTACCATACAGGTGTCTCTGCTGGGCGGCAGTGCCAGGCGTTGGCAGGGCGGGGCTTCAGGGGAGGGCAGCCAGGCCTTGGTTTGGATCCTTGGGGAAGAGGGTACTGGGGCCCCCTTCTCCACTGGGCCTGGGCGTTGAGGACCTCTACTTGTCCCTAATGCCACCCCAGCCAAGCCAGGGGACGAGGGGAAGGTGGAGCAGGGGGTGAAGGACTCCAAGTCCCTGAGTCTGCCAATCCTGCGGCCAGCCGGGGCTGGGCCCCCCACCCAGGAGCGTGTGGACCCGCAGAGCCGCCGGGAGAGCCTGGACATCCTGGTGAGGAGGGGCTGTGTCAGGCCTGGGGACGGCGAGGGGCCAGGGGGAGGTCACCTGGGCGCCTCGCTGCTCCCTCTGGGGGCTTTACTTTCCGCTTCTGGGAAATGGGGCTGGCTTTGAGGATACGGGGCCCTCCCTGGATCTAACCATACCCCACGGTGATGGGCCTCGTCTCTGAGAGTCTGCTTGTGCCCGAGGAGTGTGTGTGTGTGTGTGTGTGTGTCTAAGCAGGCATCGCGTGGGGAGCGCGACTTTGTGTGTCACTGGTTGTGTTCATGAGTGTGTGTCGGGGATCCACTTGGACCTGGGCTGCTGAGTGCGTCTGAGTGTGTGTGTGTGCCTCTGTGTGTTCTCCCCACCTGCTTCATGCTGCTGGCTGGGGCGGCAGGCGGGAGGGGGATCCAGCTGCGTCTGTCTGGACCTTCCGGCCCCCAGAGCACGTGTAGGTCTCAGGAGAGGCGGCGCCCCAGGGTGCGGGGGTGTGCAGAGACCCTCCTGCCTCCCAGGCTGGCCGAGGTCCTGGAAACCCACCATGGGGTGGGGCTGTGGGGGTCTGGCCCTGACGCCCGCTCCCTGACCAGGCCCCTGGCCGCCGACGCAAGAACATGTCGGAGTTCCTGGGGGAGGCGAGCATCCCTGGGCAGGAGCCCCCAGCGCCCTCCAGCTGCTCTCTGCCCAGCGGCAGCAGTAGCGGCAGCAGCAGCAGTGGCGGCAGTGACAGCTGGAAGAACCGGGCGGCCAGTCGCTTCAGCGGCTTCTTCAGCTCAGGCCCCAGCACCAGCGCCTTCGGCCGGGTACGTGGGCCCGTGGGCCCTGGGGCAGGGCAGCTGGCTGGCCTTGACCCCCGACCCTGACCACAGGCCTCCTTTCAGGAGGTGGCCAAGCTGGAGCAGCTGGAGGGCAAGCTGCACGCCTACAGCCTCTTTGGGCTGCCCAGGCTGCCCCGGAGGCTGTGCTTTGACCATGACTCATGGGAGGAGGAAGGTGACGAAGAGGAGTACGAGGACGACGCCTGCCTGCGGCTGGAGGACAGCTGGCGGGAGCTCATCGATGGCCACGAGGTGGGTGCCGCCCGAGGCCTTCCCCTCCCTCCTCAGGGAAAGGGGCACGTTATCCCCCTGCTCCACGGGGCCCTTCCTAGGGCGACGGGATGTTCCATGGGACAGCCCTGCCAGGCTGCTCTCACCGTTAACCCGCTTTGGAGGAACTCAGGCAAGGTGAAACTGTGCCTGGCCCAGAACTTGGGGGACCTCTGTGTCTCAGCTGGGAAAAAGGTTGCGTGCAGGGCCGTTCACCCTTCTCCCCCTGCTCCGGCCATCCCGGCACACGTGGGGGCTCCTGGAGATACCCTGCCCTTCCCACAGAAGCTGACCCGGCGGCAGTGCCACCAGCAGGAGGCGGTGTGGGAGCTCCTGCACACAGAGGCCTCCTACATTAAGAAACTGAGGGTGATCACCAACGTGAGTATGGGGTGGGCCCAGAGCCACCCCGCCTACCCGCCCCCCGTGGCCTCCTCTGGGTGCCCCTGAGCAGAGTTTGGGCCTTTGCAGAAGAAGGAGGTGCCAAGCAACAGAGGGGAAGGGAAGTGGGAGAAGGGCCACACCCTGGGGTGGAGGTGATTCCCAGGGGCCCCGGGGAACCTGCGAGGGGGCTTGGGGCGAGTTTGCCAGGTTGAGCTGATTAATACAGACCTCATCCTTTGACTCATCCTTTCATCGGCTGTTTCTAAACACCTGCTATGTGCCAGGTGCCCAGCAGCCCACACCCTAGACGAAGAGGCAGAATGGGTAGGCACTGGGGGCTGTGTGTAGGGACTTCGACCTTGGGGGAGCACCTGTCCTGGGCTTGTGGGTTCAAGGAAGGCACCCTCCGGGCAGAAACTCCGGACTGAGCCAGGGCACAGGTGGAGGAGAGAGTTCCAGGTGTGGCTGCAAGGGCAGTGTCCAGAGCTTCCCTCCAGGAGGGGCCTGGGCAGGGGCACCCCCAGGTGGGCCGTGGGGAACGTCTTTTCTCAAAGCGTGAACCCTCTCTGTCCCAGGCTGCCTCAGGCACTCCCAGGATGGGGAAGGGGTAGAGGGGAGCCTAAGAGTCTGGGTGGGGCGTCGGGACTGGGACCCCCCCCCCACCAGCTGCAGTGCTCCCTGCCCCCCACAGCTGTTCCTGTGCTGCCTCCTGAATCTGCAAGAGTCAGGGCTGCTGTGTGAGGTGCGACAGGGCCTGGGGGTGGGGGGGACAGTACCAGAAAGTAGCGGGGGGGGGCTGGAGCAAGGGAGGGGACAGACAGGGGCGGGGGCTGACTGGTGGAGTAGGTGAGGGGTGGGGCCTGGCCTCAGGGGGTGGGGCGGCCGGGGGGCGGAGCCAACGACGGCGTATGTGAGGGGGCGGGGCCTGGAACCAGGGGGTGGGGATGGGGGCGTGCTGAAGAAAGGTGGGAGCGGGGCCTGCGGATGGTGGGAGGGGAGGGGAGGGGGATGGCTAGGGGCGGGGCCCGGTAGAGGGGCGGGGCCGAACGCACCTCCCGCCCACCCACAGGTGGAGGCGGAGCGCCTGTTCAGCAACGTCCCGGAGATCGCGCGGCTGCACCGCGGGCTGTGGGGCAGCGTGATGGCGCCAGTGCTGGAGAAGGCGCGGCGCACGCGGGCGCTGCTGCAGCCCGGGGATTTCCTCAAAGGCTTTAAGATGGTACGGGCCGGGTCGGACGCAGGCAGGGACACTGAGGCGGGGCTGGGGCGTCGATGCTATCTGCCCACCACCCCAGCCTCCCCCTGACCGATGGCCCGAATGACCCTTAGTGGTCAGAGGCGTGGAATTCAGAATCGGTTGCCCTGGTGTGAACCCCACCTGGCCGTGTACCGTTGCTACCTGGCCGAGGGTGATCGCTTTCGCTGAGGCTCAGTTTCCTCACGTGGAAAACAAGGATAAGCTTGCCCCCTGCGGTGGTCGCGAAAGGCAGTAAGGAAGAGCGAGTGCCTGCCGGGCCCAGCCCTCGGGGAGTGCGCGGTAACGGGTGCTGTGCTTGTTCGCCCTGCGCCAGTTCGGCTCCCTCTTCAAGCCCTACATCCGATACTGCATGGAGGAGGAGGGCTGCATGGAGTACATGCGGGGCCTACTACGCGACAACGACCTCTTCCGGGCCTACGTCACGGTGAGGGCGGGTGGGGCTCGCTGCTGGGCCCGGGCACAGGACGGTGGGCCCACCTGGGCGGCAGGTGCAGGGGGGAGCTGGCGCTGGGCGTGGCCTGCCATGAGCCCCGCCCCTGCCTCCCCCTCCCCGCCGCAGTGGGCCGAGAAGCACCAGCAGTGCCAGCGGCTGAAGCTGAGCGACATGCTGGCCAAGCCCCACCAGCGGCTCACCAAGTACCCGCTGCTGCTCAAGTCGGTGCTAAGGAAGACCGACGAGCCGCGCGCCAAGGAGGCCGTCGTCACCATGGTAACTGGAGCGGCGGGCAGGGGCCTTCCCTGGCTTGCGGCCCCTCCCGGCCCTGTACCTGAACTGCCCTGGCCCACCCGTAGATCGGCTCGGTGGAGCGCTTCATCCACCACGTGAACACGTGCATGCGGCAGCGACAGGAGAGGCAGCGGCTGGCGGCCGTGGTGAGCCGCATCGACGCCTACGAGGTGGTGGAGGGCAGCAACGACGAGGTGGACAAGGTGGGCGCCTCCGTCTGTGCGGGGGTCGCTGGCCCTGCTGGGAGCGAGGAAGGGCCAAACTGGCAGACAGACGGGAGGCTACGCTGGGAATCTCTCTGGAAGACTCCCCGCTGAGATGAGGAGGCAGACTCTGACCTCTCCTGCACCTGCCCCCCCAAACCCCCAGCTCCTGAAGGAATTTCTACATCTGGACCTGACAGCACCCATCCCTGGCGCCTCCCCTGAGGAGACACGCCAGCTGCTGCTGGAAGGGAGCCTGAGGATGAAGGAGGGGAAGGACAGCAAGGTGACTCCACCCCACACCCAGGGCCCTCGCCCCACCCCCTCTCACCCTGTGGGTTTCGAACACCCCTTCCTTGGGACCGCTTGTGGTTCTTAGGGGCCCAGTCACCTGGGTGGCAAGTTAAGAACTGGTGACTTTTGTGATTGTCTGAGGGATGATAATCTGGCTGCAGTTTACTCTTTACAAATACAGCAGCCGGGTCCCAGCCCCTCAGGTGCCATTCTAGCCCACTTGCCAGTGCCACATGTGTTCCTGGTGGGAAGGAGGGGGCACCTTCCGTGAGCAGGACAGGAACAGCCCAGCGTCTTGCTACTGAGCTATGAATGTTTCAGGCACTGTGTAACCCAGAGCCTACAAAGCGTGATTTTAAAACCACCTTCCTTTTCCTCTTTCATGTAAACTTTTAACGGGCATAAATCACAAGTATATAGCTTGATGAAAGAAAATCGGCTCGCCCTTCATTTGAAGTTTACTCTCAGATTCGTGGGGAGTGGGGGAAGGGAGGTGTTTGACACCAGTACCCCCAGGAGAGGGTGTGGCCGCAGACAGGCTGAGGGTCCCTGCCCTGGCCCTGACCTCTGGCTTCTGATCCTACGGCCTCCCATCCCCCAGATGGACGTGTACTGCTTCCTCTTCACCGACCTGCTCTTGGTGACCAAGGCAGTGAAGAAGGCAGAGAGGACCAAGGTGATCAGGCCACCACTGCTGGTGGAAAAGATCGTGTGCCGGGAGCTTCGGGACCCTGGTGAGGAGCCCGGCCCCGCCAGCCCTGGGCAGGGCCTGGGACGGGCGGGGGCCGTGGTCTCAGCCAGCACTGAGGCGAGCCCTTCCTAACCAGGGTCCTTCCTTCTCATCTACCTGAACGAGTTCCACAGTGCTGTGGGGGCCTACACGTTCCAGGCCAGCGGCCAGGCTTTGTGCCGTGGCTGGGTGGACGCCATCTACGATGCCCAGGTGAGAGCAGAGCGGTGGGCAGGCTGGCAGGGCAGCGTGGTGGGGATCGCTGCTCACAGCCCGCTGGGGCCCTGCGCACCCACCCCCGCAGAGCCAGCTTCAGCAGCTGCGTGTGCAGGAGCACCCAGGCAGCCAGCAGCACCTGCAGAGCCTGGAAGAGGAGGAGGACGGGCCGGAGGACGAGGACGAGGAAGGAGGGGAGAGCAGCGCATCGGCTGCCAGTTCCCCTACCGCCCTGCGCAAAAGCAGCAGCAGCCTCGACTCGCAGCGCTGGTACGTTCGCCCAGGACCCCCCAGCAAGCCAGAGCAGGGCAGGTACTCCAGCCAGGACTCTGGACCCCGAGGCCATTAGCACTGGACAGGGCTGGTCACACCCCTTTCCTCTGAATGGCTTTATGATGTGAACCCAGTGGGGGTGGGGACAGGGGCTCTGTCTCCCACCAGAGTCCGGGGGAGGATGGCAAACGGTTTTCAACTTGAGTGCCAAATCTGATACATTAGTGGTAGCTGCCTGGAGCTGAGCTCAAGATTCTTAGCCTGTATCCAACAGGAGATGCTGTGGTCGCGACAGACACCATTACTGATACCTGTGTTGCGGGCTCAGGTGCCACCTGCTTGCTATCTCTTGAGCCTTGAGCTCCAGGAGGGCAGAGGCTGTAGACTTCTGCAGTGCCCAGCATGGGCTGCACCAGGCCATCGCGGTTTCCTTGGGCTGGGCTGACTCTCATCTCGGCTCCACAGTGTCTCGGATGGCTCCACGGAGACCCTGGCCATGGTGGTGGTGGAGCCTGGGGGGATGCTGTCCTCTCCCGAGTTCGAGGGCGGCCCCTTCAGCTCCCAATCAGACGAGACCTCTCTCGGCACCACCGCCTCGTCTGTCACGCCCACCAGCGAGCTGCTGCCCCTGGGCCCAGTGGATGGCCGCTCCTGCTCTATAGACTCCGCCTACGGCACCCTCTCCCCGACCTCCCTGCAAGACTTTATGGCCCCGGCCCCTACGGTGGAGCCAGCACTCCGGCCCCCAGAGTCATCGCGAGCCCCTTCACCCCCACCCTCGCCCCGCCTCCGCCGACGCACTCCTGTCCAGCTGCTGCCCTGTCTGCCCCACCTGCTCAAGTCCAAATCTGAGGCCAGTCTCCTCCAGCTGCTGTCGGGGGCCACCACCCGTGGAGCACCCCCAGCCCCTAGCCGCAGCCTGTCGGAACTCTGCTTGGCTGCTACCGTCCCTGGCACCAGGACTCGGGGCTCCCCTCAGGAAGCTGGGCCCAGCTGGGATTGCCAGGGGGCACCAGGCCCTGGCAGTGGCCCCGAGCTGTCAGAGCTGGAGGGTGGAGCCGGCTGCCCAGCTGGGGAGCCCAAAGGACCCACCAGGAGGAGCAGAGAGCTGTCCTCGGGGGCCTCGCCCAGGGTCCAGCCTGAGCCCCCCCCAGGGACCTCTGCCCAGCACAGGAAGCTGACGTTGGCCCAGCTCTACCGAATCAGGACCACCCTGCTGCTTAACTCCACCCTCACTGCCTCGTGAGTGGCCTGGCCTGGGACAGGTGGCCCAGTGTGCTGGGGGCACTATCATGGCGGGGAGCAGATGGCATTTGGGGACGGGTGTGGGAGAGGGAGCCTGAGACCAGCCTCAGCACCTGGTGAGGAGGAAACAGTGGGCAGTGGTGAAGAAGAGGCCTGAGGATCCCGGTCGGGAGGAGAGGGTGGCTGGAGCCCCTCCGGATGCCTTCAGCCAAGGAAGGCCCATCTCTCCCCTCCTCTCCACTGCAGGGAGGTCTGAGCAGAGGGAGGCTCCCAGGGGTGCCACTGACCAAGGGACAGCAGACAGCACGCCTCCTGGGGTGTGCCGGCCCCTGCTCCAGCTGCTGCCTTATGTGTGCCCCAGCCAGAGTGCTGGGCAGGACCCCTGCCACCGCCCCCAGGGCCCAATTTGCACTTTGCCAGACTGGCTGGAAGTGGAGGAGGGCTCAGCAGAGGCCCAGGCCCAGGCTGCAGGGCCCTGTTACAGCCACCACTGTCACTAACCTGCCTGTGCCTCCGCCCCCCAGCCTAGGCAGGGTCCCTTGCCCAATACCCCCGGAGTCACCAGCTCCAAGCCTCTGGGCTGGGCTCCAGGGCTGGGATCCCAGGCAGCCCTTCCCACCTCCACCCTCATCTGGCCCCAATGGGACGGTTCCCCTGCCCTCGCCTCCCTCCCTCCCTCCCTCCCTCCCTCCCTCCCTCCCACCTACCCACCCACCCAGACCTGGGCTGGGCTCTGTGTAAAGTTGCATATTTATTGAGCTTTTGATTCTTTTATAAAGACTTGTATATACTCCACCGGAAAGAGTCCTTTGCTTTTGGAACGCCCCCCTTTCTGGACTCAGGTGCACTTGGGTGCCTCCCTGGGCTCCCGCCCCCTCCCTCTGGTGGGGCCCCGCTGGAAGAGACTGTGGGAGCAGAAGTGAATTAGTCGGGCGGAGATCGCCTGACTAGTACTCCCAAGATCAACCCCTGTCCCCTGCGCAGACATGAGGCCCACCACTAGAGCCCCCCACGAGGTGCCCTCCCCCACGTGGTACCTTAGAGAGCCCCGCCCTGAGCCACCCCTCTGAGCTTATGCCAGGGTGGGCCGTGGTCTCAGGCTCTGCTGAAAGTGCCCCCTAGGACTCCCCTCCAGGGCGGGGGGACGCCACGCAGTACGTGGGGAGGGTGGGTCTCCCACCTGTGTACTTCTGGCCCAACCCCTCATGGCTGAGGGCGGGCTCTGAGGCCCAGAGAGGGGAGGTCGCCTCCCTAGGAAGCGGTGGTCTCAGGGTTGAAGCTAGCACCCAGGCGTGGGACCTGGCTGCAGCCCTGTGCTGTGTGCACCTTGCCCACCAACCGCCTCAGGTGAGCTCAGGTGCGGGCTTCGGCCTGGGGGCTCGCTTCCTGGTACCGGCGGCCCCGCCCTGCGCCCTCCCTCTCCCCCTCCCCTCCCCCTAGGCGGGCTCTTCGGGCGGCGCGGGGTGGGCGGGGCGGGCCTGCGGGCGCCGGCCCGGGCCCTACCCGTGGCGGGCGGAGCGGGGAAGACCGGGTCGGGTCGAGGGCCCAGCGTGGCGCCCAGGGCCATGGAGCCGCGGCCCGGGGCGTGTGCGGCGGCGCTGGCTGCGGTGAGTGGGGTCGCGGGGGCACGACCTCGAGCCTGGCCGGGGCCTGAGTCCCCGAGGCGGCGGAGGAAGGGGACGCGGGGATGGGGTGGGGGTGGGGATAGGAGCCTCCGATCCTGCCTCGCTGGGGGCTGGGCCGGCCCCTCTTCCGACCTAAGTTAGAGGTTCAGCCGGGGTGGGGCCCTTCCGCCGAGAGGAAACACCCTCTCGGGGCGGGAGGGATCTGGGGTCCCCAGGCAGAGAAAGATCAGGGCCCCCCACCTTAGCAAGGGCGTGGGTGGGGGTGGGGACTGCCTGCTGCCCAGTCTTGAGGGAGGGGCTGGCGGGAACCCTCTTCTCTGCCCCTCCCAAGCCTGGTCTGTGCACAGGGGAAGGAAGTTAGTCCAGAGCCCCACCGATGGGCACCCCTTTGGGGCAAGAACCTGAGAAGTGGGCTGCTCTGTGGGCAAGTGCTGGGGCCCCTGAAGGCTGGGGAGACCGGGTAGAGAGAGCCCCCGGCCTGGGCAGCCAGGCTGGGAGCCAGCAGCCCCTGTCCCCCAGGCCCTCCTCCTGCTGCTGGGTGCCCAGGGCCAGGGCAGCGCTCCCAGCCCCAGGTGTGACTGTGTGCACAGCTTCCAGATGAGGAGTGGTCTGGTCTGCTGCGGGGGCTGCCCAGCAGGTGAGCGGCTGAAGGAGTGGGAGGGACGTGGCAGGAAGTGAGGGCCAATGGGGCAGGCGGGGGTCAGGAGGGCTGGGGAGTGGTGGTAGGCAGGCCAGGGATGGGGCGAGGGGAAGCTGGGAGGGAAGTAGGGAGCCCAGGATAGGGAGGTGGCAGCCCTCTTTGACCCCAGGCTGGGTTCCACAGGGCACTACTTGAAGGCCCCCTGCACAAAGCCCTGTGGCATCTCCACCTGTCTCCCGTGCCCCCGGGGCACCTTCCTGGCCTGGGAGAACCACCACAAGACCCGCTGTGCCCGCTGCCAGGCCTGTGATGAGGAAGGTGCGGGGCTGCCTGGTGCTTGGGGGCAGGGCGGCTCTGGAGGACAAGCCCTGGCTGGGGTCCTTCTGAAGAAAGTGGCTGGCTCGAGCCCAGCCTTTGGCTGGGAGAGCCCTGTGCGCACCCCACCCTGGGGCCCTCTACCCTGGTCCTGCCTCAGGATGCCTTTGTGCCCTCTCATCCTGGTGACCTTCCAGCCTCTGCTCTGTGGTGATCTCCACATTTCTCTCACTTTGGGGGTGGCCCTGTCTCTGGTCTCCTCATCTCCATTCTCCGGGGGACGTGTCCTGCCTCTCTGTGGGGCTCTTTGGCTCTGACAGCCTCTGCTCTCCCCCGTCTCCCCTGCCAGCCTCCCAGGTGGCCCTGAAGAACTGCTCTGCGGTGGCGGACACCCACTGTGGCTGCAAGCCAGGCTGGTTCATGGACTGCGTCGTCAGCCAGTGTCCCCACAGCTCTCCCTTTCGCTGCCACCCGTGCCCAGACTGTGAGGCCGTGCACCGCCGCACGCGGGCCCCCTGTGGGTACCCCCGATCCAGGCCGTCTGCTCCCACACCCCCTTCCCCTGCCTCCTTCTCTCCCGTCCTGACCCGCACCATCTCCCGGACCACAGGTTCCAGCGGAGACACTCACTGTGGGACCTGCCTGCCCGGCTTCTATGAATACGGCAACAGCTGCGTGTCCTGTCCCATGTAACTTCCTGGCTGCCCTGGGTTGGGGGAAGGGAGGCTGGGAGCAGAGTGGGGATCGAGGGTCAGGGAGGAGGGGGCTTGACCCTATGGTAAGTGGGTCCCCCCTCAGGCAAACACTGGATGGTAAAGAGAAATTTGAATTCACCTTATGTCAGATAAATAAGGGGGCATATCTTCCCTTTATGTCATACTTTCCTTTAGTAATCCTTCCAGCCCTACGTTAAGGATAGGATGTGTCACTTACAGAGAGAGTCGCGTTAATATAGTTTCAAAACTTGGGCTGAGACTCAAGATCTGCGCCTTGTTCTCGAGGGATCTTGGGCGAGTTACCTCGCCTCTCCGATCTGTGGGCTCCCATCTGAACGTGGGAGTGTTAGTGGCTCTCCCCAGGGCTCTGATTAAGGGGTGACTAACTTTACTCACGCATCTGCTCCACAAGTGTTTCTTGAGCTTCTATCATTTCCAGACACCGTTCTAGGTGCTGGGGAAACAACAGGGAACAAAACAGGCAAATCCCAGAGTTGACATTCTGGTGACCCTCAGTCTAGTCTAGAAGCAGCTCAGTAAGTAGTGTTTGTTGTTACTGTTATGGACACCAGTGACGTTTCAGCAGTATTTGGGGAACATTCTTGGGTAGAGTGAGGCTTTCAGCAGGGAAGGGCCTCCAGGATGGAGAAGATGTCAGGTGGTCCTGAGCAGTCCCACCCCCTCCCCCCGGTGTGTACTCCCTCACCCTCCACCGCATCCCCTCCCCTTGCAGGAGCACCCTTGGGGGCTGTCCTGGGCCCTGTGTGGCTGTCTGTGGCTGGAGGCAGGGTAGGTGGTGAAATGGAGATGCCAGTGGGAGAGCTGGGATGGGCCGAGGGGAGGGTGGGGGACGGCTGCCACCCGCCACCCACCAGCTGCTCTTTCAGTGTTCTGGGTCCAGGTGCTCCTGGCAGCCCTGGTGGTCCCACTCCTGCTTGGTGCCGCCCTGACCTACACATACCGCCGCTGCCAGCCTTGCAAGGCCATAGTTCCTGGTAAGCGCACGTGCGCGCGCGCGCCCACGTTCCTAGAGGCCTGGGGTCAGGGTGGGTAGCCCAAAGCCCATTCAGCCTGATCCAGTGGGGGAAAACTGAGGCAGGGAGCGCCGGGAGTGGGTGCTGAGGGACGCAGGTTCCGGAGCCTTGCCTGGTTGCTGATTAAACTCTCTTGGTGTCTCTCAGCAGGTGAAGCTGGGGTGGAGGCCCTGACCTCGCTGCAGGTAAGATTCTCAGTAGTGTTCTAGGATGAGCGTGAACAAGCCTTCCGGAGCTGAGCGGTTGGGCCTTATTATAACTCGTGATCCCAGCGCGGCGCCTGGTAGCTGGCACGGAGTAGACCTCACGAACACATGTGCTGAGTTATCAGCGAGTGAGAGCAGCTCAGGGCCCGTCCTCAGGTGGCTCTGAGTCTACGGGGGTCCAGACAGGTAAACAGGAGCGAACAGCTCAGTAGGAAGAGTGTCACCACGGTGAGGCCTCTACCAGGGCTGGCGGAACAAGGAGAGGGCAGCAGGGGCAGGGCGTTCCAGGCAGGATAGCTCTTCTACTGGGTCACAGTGAGAGAGCATGGCCACCGGGGGAGGTGGCACCACGGGATGTTTGCTGACTGAGCCAGGGATGCCCACCCTCGGCCAGAGACCCCAGAGTCAGGCAAGCGAGGCTGACCTGGGGCCTCTCTTGGCTTCCAGGCCACCCACCTCTCACCCCCGGACAGCAGCCCCACCCTTCTGGTAACACCCAGCAGCGGCGAGAAGGTCTGCACCGTCCAGCTGATAGGCAGCAGCTGGACCTCTGGCTCTCCCCAGGCCCAGGAGGCGCCCTGCCCGGAGGTGACATGGTCCTGGGACCAGCTGCCCAGCAGAGCTCTTGGTAAGGGATTTCAGGGGCCTGAGGCCTTGACCCCATTCTCCTGAGTCCGAGGTGATAAGCTGTGCTTTCCTGAGGCCACTTGCCCACTTCCCGTCCCCTAACTGACCAGGCGGACCTCCCTGCCCGGCGGGGCCCCTGCCCGCATTCCCCATTGGCTCTCTCTGGCCGCAGGCCCGCCGCCCCCGCCCTCGCCGGCGTCCCCTGCAGGCTCGGCGGCCGCCATGCTCCAGCCGGGCCCGCAGCTCTACGACGTGATGGACGCGGTGCCCGCGCGGCGCTGGAAGGAGTTCGTGCGCACGCTGGGGCTGCGCGAGGCGGAGATCGAGGCGGTGGAGGTGGAGGTCGGGCGCTTCCGCGACCAGCAGTACGAGATGCTCAAGCGCTGGCGCCAACAGCAGCCCGCGGGCTTGGGCGCCGTCTACGCCGCCCTGGAGCGCATGGGGCTAGACGGCTGCGCCGAGGACCTGCGGAGCCGCCTGCAGCGTGGCCCGTGACGCCGGGGCCCACCCGCCACTGCGAGGCTCTGGTGGCCCTTGCAGAAGCCCTAAGTACGGTTACTTATGCGTGTAGACATTTAATGTCACTTATTAAGCCCCTGGCACGGCCCTGCGTAGCAGCGCCAGCCAGCCTCACCCCTGTGCACCCCCAAGTTTCCAGTTAAGGCGAGGAAGCGCCAACGACCATCAGCTGTTTTTCGGCCTGTGTTTGGCTGAGGCCTTGGTATTATTAAAAATCTATGAAGAAAAGCTGCCGCTTGGTGTTTCCGCGGGACTGGGGGTGTTAAGTGGCCCAGGCTTGGTTTTCCCAGGGGCGTCGAAAGGGCCAGAAGTCTTGCCACCCACGGCGGAGGCCAGTGTGGCCCTTAGCCCAAGCCTGCCCCTCCAGCTCCGCCGTGGCCCAGTTACCCCGAGGAGAGGAAGTCGCGGTGACGACGAGTTAGAGTGAGCATAAGCCCCGGGCGGCTGAGAGAGCTTTAATGCGGGTGCGAGATGGCAGGGACCGGGGAGGCAGCAGTTGGAGACACAGCTTCAGGATCCCTCGTCCTCCACTCACTCCACCAGGACCGTGAAAGCGTCCGGGGAGTGCGGGGCCTGGCTGGGGACGGCGCGCAGACTTGGAGGTGGGGCGCCGGGAGCAGCAACGCTGTCCCGACGGGCAGTTTGCAGTTTTCATCGTTTCTGGTAAACAAATGACTGAGAGGAAACCCTCGGCGGGGATGGGAAATGCGGCCGGGGCTAGGCCGGGCGCTGATCTGGGTCAGGGAGAGAGGAAAACCCCTTCCCCGAGCGCGGGGCCTGCCTCCGCCCAGGATGCGCCAGCGACGCGGGTTCCGGGGTGCAGGGGAGGGGGCGGCAGCAGGGCGCGCGACCCGCAGGAAACCAAGGTCACCACCCACGGGGCTGGGGAGAGCTCTGCACACTTTGACATTCAACGAACATGCAAATATACGTAAGTAGGCATGCAAATAAGCAGCGTCTTTTTGCGTCAACAGCTTGGGCACTTTTTCTGGGCGACTGCGGCGGCGGGCGCGCTCCAGCGTCGCCCGGGGCTGGGGATGCGGGTGCGGGGGAAGGGGGGTGCCCGGGGTAGGGGTCAAGGAGGGGTTCCAGCGCGGGAGGGGAGGGCGGCGCGGCTCCCAGCCCTTCGGCCCGGGCCTGGCAGGCTGGGGCGGGGTCTGGGGGCGGCCCCAAGCTCGCGAGGCTGCGAGCAAGAGGGCGGCGTCTAGTACTTAGCGATGTCCCCCTTCTTCAGGATGATCTGTCGCTGCCAGGGCGCCAGCTTGCTCTCGTCGTAGCCGAGCGTCCGCAGCTTCTCCGACTGCTCTTTCTCCCGCTGCATCTCCTCCTGCTTCTGTCGTTCCTCCTCTTTCCTGGGCATGGGGTGGGGGGCACAGTCCCGGGCAAGGGTGAGAGGGTGGGCCAGGCCCCATTTGGGGGGGGGTCACCAGTGGCAAGGAGTGGGTTACTGAGGGCAGGGGCTGGGTTGCTGGGGACAGAGGCACTCATGAATGGTGGGCAGGGCAATGGGTTGTAGGGGTAGAAGGTGACTGGGGACAGGGGGTGGGTTAGGAGGCATGTGGGCGGGATTGCTGGGGACAGAGGAGCTTGACTGGGGGCAGACTGGGGTCACTGGGGGACACACAGGAGCTGGGAAAGTGAGAGGCTGTAGCTGGGTTATTGCTGGCTGGGGGTGTTACTGGAAACAGAGGTGCTGGGTCACAGTGTGACAGAGAGTGAGGAGGGCGTGGTGCAGGGGCTAGGACCCAAGTTCCTGGGGACTGGGGTTTCGCTGCTGGGGAACAGAGGGGCCACATCATTGGGAGACAGGGGTGGGTGATTAGGGACAGGTTATTAGACCATGGCTAGATCTGCACTGCTGATGAGGTAGCCGCTCAGTACGTGTGGCTGTTTGAGCATACGAAATGTTGGGACTGAGATGCAGTGTAGGTGCAAATGCTCATCGCATCTCGCAGACTTAGTTTTAAAAAAGAGTGTAAGACATCTCAATGATTTTCATAATTATTATTGGGTTAAGATAGACTATTAAGTTCACTCATCTTTTTATTTTTTCAGTGGCGGCGGAATTTAATATCACATATGTGGCTCAACTGATACATCTATCAGACAGCACTCGGCTAGATTACTGAGGGCAGAAACTAAAGATCTGAGGGGCAGATGCTCTAGGTTATCGATACTGAGGCTGGGTTAACTGCAAGGCAGAAAGGCTAGGTTAACGGGAGATGGGGGCTGGGTAATTGGGGACAGGTCATTACAGCGTAAGAGCAAGACTTTGAGGTGCAGTGGGTAAGTTCCTGGGGGAGAGGGGTCTGGCGGCATTACTGGGAGCAAAGACACTGTGCTAACAGGGCTGAGTGACAAGGGGATGCGCTCAAGATTGGGGCTGGAGGAAGGGGCCAAAGGACTGTGACTGGGTGGGGGGAGGGGACACAGGTTGGGCCCAGCCCCACACTCACCGCTTCTGCTCCCTGGAAGAAAAGAGATGGCGTTAGTTGGCACCACCACCTCAGGGACACGCTCAAGACACCCTGCCAAGCCCCGCATCTTCCTCAGCTCACCTCTCCTCTTCCAGCTTCTTCCGCAGGATGTCCCGCCTCCAGGCGGGCATGCTGGCCAGCCAGGCCTCCTCCTCCTTCTCCTGAAACACAGCACAAGGCTTCAGGGCCAGCATGGGCTGGGACACGGGGGTCAGCGGGGGTGTTCCCCCACCCAGGGGAGCTGCCTGAGTCAGGGACAACGGGACACAGATGGGGTCACAGGAAGAGACTCTTTTGATGCCCTTCTATAGGGCAAATGGATGGGGACTCAGGCCCCCGTGTCCCAGAGGCGGCGCCAGAGAGGTCAGAGCTGAGTGTAGGAGGCGTAGGAGAGGAGCAGAGGGGGAGACTCCCCAGGGTGGGGGGCGGGGGGCAGGGTGGGGTGGATAGATGGCTCCAGGCCCCTGGCCCAGAATCTCTGGGCAGACTCATACGTGGGCCTCCACAGATCCTGCCTGCTCAGAGAGGCTCAGGCCGGTCCCTGGTTCCACTGTGAAGGACCTTCTCTTCCATGCCTGTCCTATTCTGAGAGCGGGTAGACGCTAGCTCTACAATCGTGTGGCTGCAATGACATGGGGGTGGGGGCATCCAACACAGGCAGCTTACAGCAAAGTGTTTTATTACTTGCATGTTACAGAGGAGAAAGGGTCTGGACACGTCACACGAACACTGCACATGTGGCTCCCTTGACCTCAGCCAAAGAGGTAGCTATGAACTCCAGTGAAAAACCAAAGAAAGAAAGAGAGCCACACTGCCCCAAGGGGGACCCACAGTCCCGCACTCAGAGGGGCTGCTGCTTCCACCTGGCTCCACACGGAGCCAGGCATCGCTGGAGAGCCAGAGGGGGACACCTGGTTGGCTCTGTGCCGTGCCCTGCCCATTCCGGCCAACACCCCACAACCGGCCACCGTGGGATCTCAAAGGCTGAGGCAGCCTGGTTCTGGGCACTCTGGCTTTTCCAAGGCCACTCGTCCTGTCCTGGTTTCTTCCTGCCGTATTCTGACCTCTGGAGGGCATCAGACAGGCATCCAGGCCCGGGTTAAGACGCTTGAGGGTAAATTCCGAATTCTTTGGCTCAGATGTCAAAAAGCTCTGCCTCCTTCTCCTTCCAGAAGGAGAAGCTGCGGTCGATGTACCGGCAGATGTCCTCATTGCTGAACTCGCCCATCTCAGATACCAGCTCCAGGGGTTCTTCGGCGGGGGCTTCGGAACTAGGAGGGGCCGACGTCGGGGGAGGCGCGGCTGGCGGGGGTGGGGACGGGGGCTGCGGCTCAGGGGCCGGCGCCTCTGGCTGCCCTTCTGGCCAGTCGCCCGTCTGAGCTGGAGCGGCCTCTTCGGTCGGCTCCCTCTCTTCCTTCTCTGTCCCTTCCTTTTGCTTTTTCTCCACCTTTTCTTCCCGGGCCGGCTCAGCCTCCGGGGTGTCTCCGAAGAACTGGCGCCTGAGGTCCTCGAAGCCGTCGCTCCAGCCGCGCCGGCCGGCCTCCACCTCCTCGAGTACCACGCGGTGGAAGAGACGGATGAGCTCCCAAGGGTGGCTGCCCAGCCGGTCGAACATCTCGTAGCACAGCAGGTGGCGAAACTTGCGCTCCTCGCGGCTCAGGCCCATTTCGAGCAGCTGGAAGTAGCCGAGCATGAAGAGGTCGAGAGTGAGGCTGTCGTAGCGCCGGGGCGCGCCGCCGTCGAGGGGCGGCAAGAAGTGCTCGGGCCAGTATAAGCCGTGTGACAGGCCCGGGCCGCGAGGCGGGCGCGCCGGCACCTGCCGCAGCAGGCTCCGCCAGTGGCCCAGCAGCTTGCCCACCACCTGCCGCTGCTTCAGCAGGCGCAGCAGCCGCTCGTCCGGGCCATCGCCCGCCGGCAGTTGGGAGGCGTCGGTTGCCTCCGGGCCGGGGTCGGCGCCAGCGGCCACCACGCGGGGCAGCAGTCTGCGCAGGCGCACCTGGGCGTGGCGCCCGGGGCCGCGGAAGGTCCACTTGCGCCAGTGCTCCAGGAAAAGGTAGACGATGCGCTCCTTGCGCATGTCGATGTAGTCCTGGACGCCTCGCAGCTCAGTGGAGGGTGGCGGCCTGCGCGCCAACTGCTCGGGCTCGGGCAGCGCCGCCTGGCGTCCTGGCGCCTCGGGTGGGCCCAGGACGCCCAGGGGCTCCCCCGCGGCCAGCAGGCCGTTGGCGGCGGCGGCGCTTGGCTCGCCGGTACCGGCCACCACGTAGTCCTCCTCGAGGATGGGCTCGCGGCGCGGGGCGCCGGCGGGCAGAGAGAGCTTTCGGGGCGGGCCGCGCGCCGGCGCCGAGCCCTGGGCGCGCCGCTCGTAGGTGGCGCGGAGGTGCCGCACCGAGACGCCGCACTCGAGGATCTCGCGCGCCACGGCCTCACGGCACCAGCTGAGCGAATGCGAGCGGCCCAAGCAGAGCGGGCCCGGCCGCCAGGGGGCGTCGGTCAGCGGCGGCAGTGGCTGGCCTGTGTCGGCGGCAAGTAGCTCGGCCAGGTGCGCGGGCCGTCCCCCCAGCGCGGCCAGCAGCGTGGCCATGCTCTTGAGCAGCTTGGAGATCTTGCTGCACCAGGCAGGCAGGCTGGCGGCGCGGCCGTGCATGCGGCGCGGGTCGACGGTGAAGCGCGGCGCCGACAGGGCGGCCGAGATGGGCAGCAGCTGCTCCAGCTCCAACTCCAGCTGCTCCAGGCGCGCCTCCAGCTTCTGCGCCTTGTGCAACACTTGCAGGTTCTCGATTTGCTGCTCGATGCGGAGGATGTCGGCCTCGGTCATGAGCTCGCCGAAGGGCCCGAGGATGCCGTTGTACTCGCGGGAGTACCTCCAGCCCTCGCGGGGGTAGCAGCACGAGCTGGCGGCCGTCAGCTAAGGCGGGGAAGACAAGAGAGGGGAGGGAGGCGCGTCTCCCTCTGGCCCGGCTCCCGCAGCGGCCGCCGGGGGCGCCTTTTGCATGTCCCGGGTGGTGTAATGGCTCCGCGGGGCTGCGTTTGCAGGGACGGGCCGCGCCTGGCCGGCGGGCAATTACAGTGGGACGAGGCTTCGGCCCAGGCCGCCGCTCCAGGCGCTGGGCAGGGCAGTGTCCACTCTGGTCGCTGGCAGGGACACAGCCGGTCGTTGGGCGCTGTTGCAGAGGCAGGGCCGGCAGATGGGGTCTCCACACCTGGCTTGCTCGCTCATTACACCACCAAAGGAACATGCAAAAGGCGTTGAAGCTGCGACGGACGGCAGCCCTCTCCCTCCCCATCCAAGGTCTGCGATTTCGAGGCCAGATCCCAGCAAGGCCGCGCCTCACCCCAGGCGGATGACCCCTAATCAAACTCCCCTGAGGCCCAAGACCTCCCTGTCCGTGCTGTCAGTTTTACTGCTGAATGAGAGGTCCTTAAAGTGGCTGAAGCTGTGGCTTTCACCCCTCTTCCCACCCTCTCTGACTCCTGGAATAATAACACAACTTACAGAGCTAGGCTTGCCAGGCACTCATAGTCTCATCTGTTCCTCATTTTAGTGCCGGGTTTTTCCAGCCCAGGTGGGGGGGAGGGGCTGCCATCACCTCCTCACTGGCCTCCCAGTTCATCCCGGCCCACCACCGCCCCCCACACAAAGATGTTTCCCAAATACAAATATGACGATGCCAACTTCTCCGCTTAACCCCACTCCCAGGCTCCCCACTACTCCAGGAGAAAGTCCATTGTCTTCAAGGCCAGGCCTTAGTTATCTGGCCGCTCCTGACGTCTCCACTCCACCCCCTTCAGTGGTAATGTCTTGGAGCTGCCACACCCACTCTGACCGTCAGGCCTCCCCGGTCCTTCCTGCTCGCTCTTTGACCCACTTCTTCCCCTGTCCACTTCTTCCTCATCTTCCAAGTCTACCTGAGACATCACTTTCTCCTCCCCTACCACCACCCCAAACCCAAACGGGATGGTCGGTTCAGGGCTGCCCCAGTCCTCTGCCCTCCCCATCAGAGCACCTGCCCACTTGCTCACTCTCTCACATTGCCCTGTTTTGTCTCCTTGGGGGCACTTATCACTCGACTAAGGTGCTGTACTTGCTTGTTGGTTGACACCCCCCACCCCCACCGGCCCTGACATATTCACCATGAATCCCCAGAGGCGACAACAGTGTGTAACACATAGACGGCGCCGGGGGGATGTCTGTTGAGCAGATCAATGGCAAACTATCCTGCCAGCCAGGGATGATCAACCCATCCGACAGATGAGAAACCCGAGGCTGGACGAGGCTCAGTATCAGTGGAAAGTGGTAGTTCAGGGAAAGAGCCCAGGCCAGTCTGACTACGACCAAAAGCCTCTCGGTTACTCATGTGGTCCCTTGGATGAGCCAACCTCACCCGGGAGCTTGTCAGAAGCGCAGAATCCCATCCCCACCCAGAGCACCTGAATCAGAAAAAGCATTTTAATAAGATCACGGGCGATTTGAGGGCATCTTAGACTTTGATAAACACTGCCATCGCATTAAAGGACAGGCTGTTGTGGGGTGGTGCTGGTGGTGGAGACTGGGAACCAGCCCAGGAGAGGGGTGGTGGTCCAATCGTGCTTTTTCCCAAAGGTAATGGGAGCCGTCTGAGGCTGAAAGGTCCCGGGCAGATTGGGGGATGCTGTGGGACATGGGCTGTGGACCCAGGTGCGGACCCCAGGGCCCTCTGGAAGCCCAACCCCGCCCACCTTCCGCCTCTGTTCCTCCTCCTCCTGCATCTTCAGCTGCAGCTTGCGCACCATGACCTGGCGCTTCCACTCGGGGATGGGCCGGCCCTGCTCGTCGTGCGTGGGGATGAGCGCCTCCACGTCGAGCTGCACGCCCGGCGCAGGGGTGGCAGGCGGCGCCGGCGCCACGCTGCCGTTGAGCAGTGGCTGGGACCCCGCGGCCGGCGGGGTGGGGCTCCGGGCCCGTGACGGTGCCGGCGAGGCCGGCGGCAGCGGCGAGTCGGGCTGCGGGGGAGAAGCGGCGGGGCTGAGTGCCGGGTGGGCGGGGTCGAGGGGCTGGGGCGTCTGTCGCATCGCCTACCTGGGAGGCCGGCTGCCCACTGCCCGAGAACACCGTGGTCAGCCCCTTGCTCTGCGGCGTCGGCTTCAGACTCTTGCCCGCCTTGATCTCAGCCAGTAGCTCTGAGTTGTCGCCCGTCGGGGACATCATGTTGAAAGACTTGGTGCCTGCGCGGAGGCAGGAGAGGAAACGTTGGCCTGGTGTGAGGCCCGCGTCCCCGCCACCCCCTACCTGCCCTCCGCTGCCCCCTTCCCCAAGTCAGCGCAGGCCGGGGCCTTCCCTTGGGCTCAGAGGGCAGCTCTCCAGGTCCCAGGTCCCGCAGGCAGCTCTCTGGGACCCCAGAGGCGGGTCCTCAGCTGGCAGCCCGCGCAGCCCCTCCATCCTCCCGGCCCTACTCACGGGGTGTGGAGCCCCCGCCTGGAGGCCCCTGGGAGTTCATGATGGCTCCTGGGCCGGCCCTGGGGCCTCTAGCGTATATCTTCGCCCAGCCCAGCGCACTGACTGCCGAGCTCCAGAACACTACCTGGGGCCAGCCACCCGACCTTTGTCCCGGCTTCCCCGGCCCTGCCCCGCCAGGGTGGAGTCTCCCCCTGGCCATCTCTCTGCACCAGCAAACCCCAGCGACCCTTGGACTGAGTCACCTGGGGCTTCCATGGCTATAGACTCGGGACCCTGGATGCCAGAAGCCAGCCGGCCCCCTTCCCCCCACACACCCACAAACAGACACACGCGCAGACGCACTGGTTGCAAGCCCAGACGGAGCACACTTATGGCAAAGCGCAGCGCAGCTCTGGTGGACCCGGGGAAGCCGAGACCTTACTAAGGATATAGGGTCGGGGCACTCAGGACGAGGGGCCAGGCGGACGACATGCAAATGCGCGGCGCGGAGTTTGCATTTTCCGACGAGGCCGGCGGAGGTGAATGGAGTTGGGGGAGGGTTGTCGTTAGAGACTGAGGAAGGGGTCAGGGCTGGGTGAGGGGGAAAAAGGGGGCCAACAGCTTCTGGGTTCCCCGGGCTGGGGATCCCAGAGCGCGGTAGTGGGAGGGGAGAAAGGGAGAAGTGCCGGTGGGCGCCGGCTGCGGGCTCATTTCTTTAGGCAAAACCGTCTGCCCGGCACAGAATGCGGGTAGAACCTGTAGTGTCCAGGACCCCTCGCCTGCCGGCCCCTGGTCCCGTCCTTTCCTCAAGACCCCAGCCCGTCAGCCTGGCTTTTCCTGAGCGTGCCCTGTGTCCCGCCCCCGCGCCTCAGCCAGGAGCCGCGCACGCAGCTACTCACTCTTCCTGTGTCTCAGCACTCTCACTTCTAGGGGCCGAGAGGAGAGAAGTGACAGCGAAGTTAGGAGAGGGAGGGGGCTGGGGTGAGGCTGGGACATCACAGAGAGCAAGAGAGGGCCAGGGAGGACAGGAGGAGGGGAGATGCGCGGGGGCGGGCGGGGCGGGGTGGTGGTGGTGAGAGGAGGAACTTTCCGGTCCGTCTGACCCTGGCTCAGGCTGCTCTGGGGCTCCACAAGGGTGGTCCGCTCAGTTCCCAGCTTTGTTGGTGCCCCTGAGGACTGGGCTGGGCTGCCATTGGCCCTGGACCCCCTAGCAAGGGCCTCAATCTTGGCATTGGGATGGGATAGGGCACCCAGCCCAGGCTCTGCTGCGAAGGGCTGTCTGGAGAAGCCCAGAGTCTATTTTTCTTCTGTTCCTAGTTTCAGCCTTGCTCCAGGCTGCCACGGGAAGGCACTGACCTCAAAGCTGGGGGCCTTTCTGGACGCTCAGCTGACGGTGGACATGCTACCATGGGCTGTGGTCTGCAGGGGCTGCGGCTCCACAGGTACCCCAAGGAGCCCAGGCTGGCCCTACCCTGGACGCTACTGCAGCCTTGCATCCCTAGCCAGGGAAATGAAGCTTTGGATGCTACCAGTAAGCATGGTCCCCGAACCGAGTGGCTGCGTGAGGAGAGCAGCTTGGCCACCCCCTGCCGGGCTGGAATGGAAGCATCAGCACCCAGATACCACCTCCTGGGCCTTCCAGGAGCCCCGGCGTGCAGGAGACTGTCCCGCATTTCACAAGAGAAGCCCAGGAATCCTGGTCACCAGTCTAGCTCTTAAAAAAGGATGCTCGGGGATTCACCAGGAGGGGGAGGGCAGAGTATGACGGGTTACTGGCCTTGACCCTATAGCCAGGCCCGGGGCCGTAGCTAGCTTGGGAGAACAAGGGAAAGCAGCCAGGAGTGGAAGAGTGACTCAGGATAGATGTGGGGCAGGAAGAAGGTTGGCCAGCAACCCTGCCTCCTTGAAGCTAATTCTACTTCTCTGAGTTTCCCTCTAGCACCACCAGCTCATCAGAAACAGCAGCCACCAGAGCTGGGAGGCCTTCCCTACTGGGTGGAAGGCAGGGCCAGAGAGGGAAGGGGACTTGCCCCAGGTCACACAGCCCTGTCCTGCTCTGGCAGGACCTAAAGCAATCCCAAGCCTCCCCTTAGGGTCAAGTCCTCATTGGGGTGGGGCTGCAGAAAGATCAAAGAGCAAAAGAGGAAGCACCAGGGCAGTGGCAGCTGCCCGGGGCGGTGGCGGGAGGGGGGGGTCTTGGTTTCCCTCCCCCTTCAGGGCTAGCGCCGCCCCCCACCCCTCAACCCGCCCCTACTCACTGCCAGTAGACGAGGAGGAGCGACGCTGCCCGCAGCCAGGGCCAGAGCCCTCGAAGGGCAGAGGAGGAGCGGGCGGCGGCGAGCTCAGGGCCTCGGGCAGGGGCGGCGGCGGCGGGGGCGGCGGGGGCAGCTCCCTGGACGTCTTGGGGTCCGCGCCGCAGCCGTTGTGCACGTGGTTCCCGGGGAGCAGCGCCGCCTGCGGGGGAGCGGAGGGGCCAGCGAGTGAGACGCGGGCGGCCCGGCCGGGTCCCGGGCGGCCTGCGGGTGCGGGCTGGCGGGCACGCACCTCCTCGCTGTGCGCCATGCCCGGGCGCGCGGCCAGCGGCTCCCCGGGGTAGCGGCCCAGCTGGCGGTAGTAGTCCCCCGTGCTGGGCTGCTTGCTGAAGGCGCGGGGCTTGCGGCTGGAGTCCTGCCTCCGCAGCCCGTTGCGGCCGTCGCGGGAGCTCAGCTGCGGGAAGACAGCGGGCGAAGTGAGCTTCAGGCACTTGTCTTTTCCGCCTCCCACATCCCTCTCCCCGCCTCCCCAACTCTTAACCTTCCGGGGGCTCGTGGCCAGCCGCGGTCCCAGACCCTCCTGTTCTCAGAGCGGGGATGGGGCGAGGGTCCTGCGGGCCTCGGTGAAAGGGCACTCTCGGTCGGCCCCACAGGGAGGGGCTCTGGGCGCGGGCCAAGGGGCGCAGGGGCCCCCACTGTGGCTAGAAGGGGCGGGCCGAGGGGCGGGGTGGCCCAGCCCAAACGCCAGGGGGAGCTGGAGAAGGGGTAGCTCCCAGCTTAGGCAGCGCTAAGGCCTCAGCCGTACCCCACTCGCGGCGACCAGACGGTCCCACGCGAAACCAAGGCTTCGCGCAACACTCCTTTGCGGGAGTTCCGCCCCGAGGAAGTCCACTGCTTGCCCAGGGCCCTCAGTCGCCCGGCCCCGGCCTGGGGCTGCTCCTACCTGCGACCGTGCTGGTGGCCCCCGCTGTGCACCTGGCAGCGGGGGCGGCATGGACTCGACACCTGCGCTACCTGATCCTTCCTCTCAGGTTACAGCCCAGCCCGCCCGCCCGCGCCTATGAGCGCCTGAGAGCTCTGTCGGCCTGACATCACCCAGGGCCTGCCAATCCCGGGCCGAAACCCCCAGCAGCCGGGAATGCCACGGGGGCGCCCCCTGCTCTGCCAACACCTGGCTGCTGCGCCGCGCCTACCCCACAGGCCAGATGTGGCCCCACCCCCCTGCGCCTCTCTCCCTCCGTTCTGGGCTGAGCACCCAAGGCTTCATCCCCCCACTCACCCCCTCCATCCGCCAGAGACAGAATTTGCGCCTCACCATGGGCAGTGGAGCCCCCCACGTCTGGCCCCCCGGGTTCCGGGTCACGCCCCCGCCCTTTCCCTCCCGCATCTGGAAACCATCGCCGGCTGCGTAAGGGACACCGACACCCGCGCCCAAGCCTCAGGTTTCAGGGGCGGCAGGCCGGGCTCGGGTGACAGCGCGGGCCGCCCACTCCGTCGCATCTGCCCCCCACTAAGCCCAGCCCGGGAAGAAAGACAGGAGGCGCAAGGGCCAAAGGCCAAGTCACCTGGCAGGGGCTGTCCCCTGCCCCACCCCCAGTCCGAGCGTCCCCACGGTGGCCCCGGACCCTCCAAGCCCCACCCGGCCGGGCTCACGTTGCAAGGAAACGCGACACCGCGGGATTTGTTTTCTGGGCCAGCCTGCCCCCTCGGCGCCCCCTGCATCCCCGAGGCGCGGACGCCGCGACCCTGCTCCTGCCCGCGGTCCGGAAAAAGCCGGGGAGTGGGGGGGGGGGCGCGGGGCACACAAAGGGCCCTTGTGGAGCGGCCCAGCGCCTGCCGCCGGGCACGCACACAACGGGAGAGGCACGGCACCTCGCAGTCCTGGTGTTCTGGCTCAGGGGAGGGGCCGCCTGTCCTGTGGCTTGGGGCAGGGCCTACATGCCTGGCCTGCAAAGTCTGCTGGCCCTAGGCCCCCTGCAGGCCTCTCCTGGGCCACCTTCACCTTCTGGAGATGAAAGAGGAACCCACTGAGAGCCTGGTCTGAGGTAGCAAGAAGACCTGCAGTGGAGCTGTGTCCTCCCCTTCCCCCAGCCGGTGGCCCTGCGATGTGGGTCACCTGTGGGAACTGTGTACTGAGCTCGGCCCTGGGGCAGCCTGCCTTGGGCTCGAGAGAGAACTACAAGGTCAGGGTTCCCACAGGACCCTAGGGGGGCTCAGGCTGCCCTCCCCTGCGGCCTCAGACCAGCCTCCCTCTGTCCTCTTGACTAGAACCCCAGGGCTTCCTCTGGGCCTCCTTGCCCAGGACTCTCAGAGCTGTGCAGACCAGCCCTCTGCCCCCTCCCCTGCTCCAAAGCCTCGGCCAGGAACCCACAGGCCCTGCATCCGGGCACCCCACACTCAAAGTGCCCGCACCGGATTCGGCCCCTTCTTACAAGCCTGCTTCTCCCAGGGCGCCCATCTCAGGACTGGCTTGTCTACCCACCTGGGAGCTGAAGCCCCAAACTGGGGAGCCAGCCTCCATGTTACCCCCGCGTCCAGCCCCCAATGCTGAGAGGGTGCTGAGCCCTGCGGGTGCCCCCTCCCCTGGCCTCCACCCTCCTCCCAGCCCTCACCTTCACACTGCCTGCATCTCCCACCTGCAGACACTCCCTTGGGACCCTCTCTCCACCTGAGCCCGGAGCTGGGCGCGAGTACGCCTGTGGAGGAGCAGTTTGCACATGTGCTCTGCCGACTCCATGAGCTCCCTGCCACCTGTGCAAGAGGTGGTGAGGACCCAGCTCCCGGGGAGGCATGGCTATCTGGGTATGTGTTCCTTCCCCCCGCCCTGCCCCCCAAGTCCCCAGAGGGTGCTGGCTTTGTCTTCCTCATCTCTCTGTCCCCAGTGCTCAGCCCTGAGCCGCCATGGGGCTGACCGGAAGCTTTGACTCCTGAACAGGCCATTGGACCAGGGACCACCTCCCCCCGCCCCCGCCGCCCGCCCTGTACCCAGGAGCCGGGCCACCTGTTGGCCTCTGCTGCCCCCCCATCAGCCCACTCCCGGGGCCGGAGGGCAGGCAGGTTGGGGAGGGTTCACTACCTCCTTCTTGAAGGCCTCGGTCTCCACATGGCGGAGTTTGTTCTTCGTCTGCGTGTAGATGTCAGCTGCTTGTAGCCCCGCGGGGGGCTTGGGAGCTGGGTAGCCTGGCGGGGGTGGGGGCATCTGGGTGCCTGGGGGTGAGAATGGTGGAGGGAAGCTGGGTGGTGGCGGTGGTGCTTTGGGTCTCTCCATCCTGCTCCGGGGCAGGCCCGGCTCTGGGCTCAGCATGTCCATGTAGCTCTGTATGTCTGCAGCTCTCGTGCTGGGAAGCCCTGGGACAGAGGGAAGGCTGGGTTTGGGAGTTTGCAAAGAGGCTGCCCCCAGGCCCAAGACCCCCTCCTGCCCAGAAACAACGTGCCATGGGAGTAGGCAGGCTCCAGGTGCAGCCTGACACGGCCCCACCGTGGGCCCCGCAGGGCCGGGCCCACCTTCGCCCTGGCCCTGCCCACCTGCAGCCCTGCACTCGTTGGGGAAAGGCCTGTGCTCAGGTTTGAGCGGAACTGGCAGGAGGCCGCGGGCTCCAAGACAGGGCTGCGGAGCACAGCCACCTGGAGGGTGGAGGGGTGGCTCCTCGGGGCAGATGTGGCCGGGCAGGCGGTGCGGTACCAACGGCCACACCGCATCTTTGCAGGGGGCCCCAGCAGCTCTGCAGGCCACCACCTGGCGGCGTAAAGCCGGCATCGCAGGTGGACAGACACCTAAGCTCAGGGCGTGGTCAGCACGTGTGAGCATGTGTGCCTGGCTCCTGCCTGAGTGTGCATTCGTGTATGTTCCTGAATGTGTGTACGTGCTTCTTTGTACTTATTTTTATTTTTTTTTTTTGCGGTATGCGGGCCTCTCCCTGCCATGGCCTCTCCCGTTGCGGAGCACAGGCTCCGGATGCGCAGGCCCAGCAGCCATGGCTCACGGGCCTAGCCGCTCCGCGGCACGTGGGATCCTCCCGGACCGGGGCATGAACCCGTGTCCCCTGCATCGGCAGGCGGACTCTCAACCACTGCGCCACCAGGGAAGCCCTTCTTTGTACTTGTGAATGTGTTTGCATTGGTCTGTGGACCTGGGGTGCATGAGTGCACACATGTAGCGTAGGTGTCTGTATGGTTCTGTACGTGTGGTTGTGCATTCACACCTGTATGCTGTGTGTACACGTGTAGGTGTGCACTCTTGAGTGTGGGTAGGTGTGTGTAGCGTCTGGGGAACATTGTGTGTGCGTGTGTGTGAGGACACTGAATTGAGTGTGGGTAGGTGTGTGTAGCGTCTGGGGAACATTGTGTGTGCGTGTGAGTGACGACACTGAACTGCGTGCGGGCTGCTTGCGGCTTTTGTTGGCGGGAGGGTACCTGTGGATGTACAGGCATGTCTGTGATGGACACCCACAAGCGTGAGTGTCACCTGTCCTCCCCAGAACCAGCCCTCCTGGTGACCTGGGCAGTCTCCAGTGTCAGCTGCGGGCAGAGTGGGCTCAGGGATGGTCCTCAGGGCGCAGTGGTCTGGCTCCAGTTGGCTCTCCCTCCCCCCTCTCCCCAGGCCCACTCACCACGTGGGGGGCGCCGGCCCTTGATGCTGGAGTGGCCGGAGGAGCAGGACCCGTAGTTGGACAGGGTGCTGGCCGGCGAGCTGAGGTCAAAGTTTGGTGGCTGGACCGACGTGGTGGTGTTGGGTGAGGACATGCCCGAGTCAGGCTGCTTGGTCTCCAGGTCAGCGGATGGATCCCGTGACAGCACACGGTGCTCCACGCTCTGAGCGGGAGAGGGGGCTGTGAGGGCAACCCCGCTCCAAAGACCAGCGCACCCTGGGCCAGGGTCCTGCTCGGGCACACCCTCGCTGTGTGACCTCGGTCAAGCCACTTCCCTCTCTGGGCTCCCTTCCCCATCATCTCTCAGGTTCTTCCCAGGCTAAGATTCAAACCCACCCCCGCAGTGGCAGGACCACGGATTCCTGGAAAACTCCCAGCCCTGGCTGGTCTCTGCTCAGGGGGGTTGAGAGGCTCTGCTCAGAAGAGAGGGAGGACGCTGGGCTGGACCCCAAGCGAGGGCGGCCACGGCACCAGCCTTACTCCTTTCTCATCAATGGGCAGAGGGCCAGGCTCCAGCGTGGCGAGGAGGCACCGGCGCTGCTGCAGCGGGTGGGAGCATTTGCAGTAGCTGGGGATAGGGGAGGGGTGCACGGCACCTCCAACGTGCAGGAAAGACTGAACTCCCGACCTGGCCAGCAACCACCCTGTCTCTCCTTGCCGGACTGGGACGAATCCCAACATGAGCCTAGCCCCTGTCTCCTGATGGGGTCTTTGGGGAAAGGACGGGGCCTGGGGTGGCCCAGCTGAGCTGGGGGGGCAACCTGAGCTCAGCCATCCCCCACCACTGCCTCTCCCCTGCCCACAGGCCTGACCCTCCCTCCAGGGAGCGGGCTGGGGTGGGGGCCCTGCTTACGTTGCCCATGCTGGCCCTGCTGCCGGCAAGGCTGCGGCTCGCTTGCTGGCTGCCTCCGGCCCAGGCCAGCTCCTCCCTGCCTGAGAACTGTCACAGGTCCCCCGGGAACGGGAGGCCGGCCTGGCACCAGGTAACGGCTGGTAAGCGGCCATGCTCATTGGCCCCGTAATTAGGGGCTCTGCGGGAGTGTTTGCCTTTTCTGGGCCAGTATCCTCCATGGCTTGAACCGTCACTGCCGCAGCTGGGCCCGCCTTGTGAGGGGGCCAGGTCCTCCACACTCCACCCAGTTCGGGGGGGCCAGGCCCTGCTGCCTTAACCCCTGAGACAAGGGGAGTCATAGGAGCTGGGCTTGGGGAGGGCAGCCTGAACATGCTCTTTGCTTGGCTGGCTGAGGTGGGTACTTGCCCAGCCCTGACAAAGGTTAGGGGCAAAGGCTTTGCAGCCTGGGGGGACGGCTTCAAATTTCATCTCCTCCACTTACTAGCTACATGACCTTTCCATCACTTGTCCTCTCTGTCTGTACCTGAGTTTCTTCATCTGTAGGTGGGTATAACAGCACTGCCTGCCCCATTATGTTATAACAAAGATTTTAAAAGTTAGTGAAGTACCAGGGCGTGGTAGCCAGTAAACGCCATATGTGTCAGCTGTTAGTACTAATTCGCTGTGAAAATGAACTGAGATTACATCGTAAAGCACTAGGCAGGGTAGGGTACCTTACCGGGGTCAGAATTCAAGGAGTGGTGCTTGTTTGCTCATTGCCTGAAGCTAAAGCCTCCATCAGGGGGCGCCAGAGGGCGCTGGGGCTCTGTGGACCACTACTTTCTCCGGATGGCCTTTCTGGGGGGAGTTCTTCCTTGGGGCCGGATGCCATCTCTGACCCCTGGGCCTTGCTGTGCTCTGGAGTCCCAGAACCAGGGTGCCCCCATATGCTCGACGACAGGGCAGACAATGCTCTGGGCAGGGGGTCATCGGCCTTCTCTCCTCCAGCCTCATTCCGCAGCCCCTCTCGTGGCCAGGCTGCCCCCCTTCTGAAGATGCCTGTGAAGCCAGCCCTCTTTCCTCCCTCCTGCGCCAAAGCAGACGTTGCACCAGAGGAGCCAGAGCCCAGGACTGGGAGCCACCCACATCTGCACTCAAGTCCCAGTGGGTTCCTTCGTGGCTTTGTAACCATAATAAAATAATCTGAAAACACTAACACAGGTTTTCAATTATGAAGTAGCCACGCAGTGAGCAAACATACAGAGTAGTGGTGAAAAGAAGTAGCGCCAGGCCCGGACACCAGGGCTCCACCATTTAATGATTGGGTGATTGGGTCTCCCCAAGACTCAGTTTACTCACCTGTGAAATGGGGACACGAGCACTCCCTACCTCAGAGTGTGGTGGTGAGAGTTAAAGGAGCTAGTTAATACCTGTGGGCAGGTGAATGCGCTTTACTGTTCCCACTGGTGTGTAAGTGTCGTTGTTTCTCCGAGCCTTGGTTCTCATCAGGACGAGGCTGGTCCTCCTTCCCTCGATATTTCTGCCCGCACACCCTCACTCCCCAATGGTCAGTGGTTCTGGCCTGAGAGGTCACGTGGGGTAGTGGTCTAGGGCACTTACTCCTGTGACCCCGGGCAAGGAGCTTCACTTCCCTGAACCTCAGCTTCCTCCGTGGTAAAAAGGGTAACAACACCTACCCCTGCGGGGAGGTGGGGGCAAGCTGTGGGGGGAATGCAGTAACGCGGGGGAGCAGCGCCCGGGGCGTACCAGGTTCTCCACGGTGCGCAGGTAGCGGGTGCAGTGGCTGTGGCCGTTGTAGTCCGCGAGGTCGGCGGCCGTGTACCCGTCGCGGTCGCGGACGTCCAGCTCCGCGCCGTTCACTACCAGGATCTGGCAGCACTGCAGGGGCGCGCAGTGAGGACCCCCGGCCGACAGCCGGGACCCCGGCGCTTGGGCAGCGCTGTGCTGAGAGCGCGGCGCCAGCAGAGGGCGCCCGCCCCTCCCGCGCTCGCCCGGCCTCCCGGCCACGCCCCCGGCCCGCCCTCACCTCCAGCTCCCCGTTCTCGGCGGCGTCATGCAGCGGGGTCCCGCCCCACAGGTCGGCCGAGATCTCGCCGCCGTGCAGCAGGAGCCAGCTGAGCACTTTGGCGTGACCGCGGCTCGCCGCGAAATGCATGGCCGTGGCGCCGTCCTTGTCCTGCTCCGACAGGCTTACGTCGGTGCAGCTCACCTGGGGGGGAGGGGACGGAGCACAGAAGGGCGGGGGCTGGGCGCCAGGCCCCTCTTGGCCCCGCCCCCGTCCCGTACAGGCCCCGCCTCTCCCGGGCCCCAACCCCGACCTGTCCCCGAGCTCACCAGCCACACGATGACCGGGCTGTGGCCCATCTGCGCCGCGGCGTGCAGCGGGGTCATGCCGTCGTGGGCGCTCAGGTGCGGGTCCGCGCCGCACTCCTGCACCAGGTACTGCGTCACCTCCAGGTGGCCCTCTTGGCACGCCAGGTACAGGGGCGTGGCACCGTTCTTGGTTTGGGCATTCACTCCCCTGCGGAAGACGCAGCACCCACCGCGGGCTCTCAGTGCCCGTCCCCCTCCAAAGCTTTCTTCACCCCTCACCCGCTTCCGGGGAGCTCTGGAGGGCTGGGAGGGTGGGTTGGAGAAAAACCTAGTGGCTGGACCCGGCTGCCCAACTCCCTCTGGACTCAGTCTTGTGCCAGCCTCCCTGGGTGTGGGGGGGGGCCCTCTGGCTTGCTCCCCACCTCCCCCCGGCAGCCTTCTTTCTGCAATGCACATTTGACTGAGCTAGTCTCTGCCCTCAGTAAATAGCCCACCTTTTTACCAAGGTCTACAGGGATGCGGTGACCTGGCCTCCCCCTACCTTTTCAGCCACACTGACCCACAGTCAGTGTGAGTCCTCACACCTGCTGTCGGACCTCTGTACCTTTGATCATGTCCCCCCTCTGTCTGGAATGCCCTTCCCGTCTCTCTTGAAGACTCGGTACAGATCCCTCCTTCATGAGGCCTGCCCTGATTTCTCCAGCAGAACAGGCCTTTCCCACCTCTGTGCCTCATACTCTGCCCTGGGCTCACTCCATGGGCCACCTGTCATGCTCGATCATAACTTATTTTGGCCTCTGCCACCCCCAGAAGACTGAATTCCCAGAAGGCAGAGTGGTAGTGTCACCAGGTAAAACATAAGATGCCCAGTTACGATCTGAATTTCAGATAAACAACAAATAATTTTCTAGTGTAAGTCTACCCCCAATGTGGCATGGGATGTGCATACACTAAACCATTATTCGTTGTTTATCTGAAATTAAAATTCAGTGGAATATTCTGGTTGTGGTTGTCATCAGCCTGGCAACACGACGGGTGCCGCCGTCCACTGAGCACCTCCCCTGCGCTACGACACTAGCACACAGGTCCTCACTGCATGTCCTAACTTAGGTCCTACTGTCATCCCCATTTTGCAGTGGGACAATTGAGGCCCAGGGGCTGTGACTTGCCAAAGGTCACACAGCTGGTAAGTGGCACCGGAGCACAATCCGTCTGTGTGATGCAGGCCCGGATGCACAGCAGGTACGAAGGGATCGAGGAGAGGGATTGGGGGAAGGGCCATTCCATGTCTTCACTCCCTCAGCCTTCCCTCGGGCCTGGCTTGCAGCTGTCACTGCCCCCCATCCCTGCTCCCCAGCTCCCACAGAAGGGTCCTAACTGGGGAATCAGTCCCATGAAGTGGAGTGCTGCTGGGAAATAGGGAAGCTGTCCCTGCCACTGGCTCAGCCTCAGTTTTTCTGACTTCACAATGTGTGTGGATGCCAGGGTGCAGTTACCAGATCTAGACACTAGGTGGAGCCACAATCTAGGCCCAGGCAGAGGAGCTCGCAGCGGGTCTGGGACACAGAGAGTGCGGGGTAGGGAGTCGGAGCTGAGTCCCTCTGGGCTGGATCAGCCCTCTGGGCCCCAGGAAGCGCAGTTCTTCGTCCGACTTCATATCCTCCCACCCACCCGCCTCTCCCATCTATTTGCTCACGACCTCGATCACACGCTCCACCCCCACCACCCATGCCCTCCCTCCCTCATCTAAGTGTCAGCCGCGTGTAGGCAACGTGGGCACCAGGCCACCCACTCCTCCTCCATCTGCCCCCTCACCCACCCTCTTGTCAGCCACCCACGACTCGGCCCCTCGCTCTGACACACCCCTCGGACCCTCCCGTCTGACCTCTCCCTGTCCCTAAAACCCCATCCCTTTCCACTTGCCTGACCCCTGACCCCTGACCCCAGGAGGCTTGCAGCGCCCACCAGGCACGCAGCCCCAGCTCTCTTCGTCCTCCTGACGTGGGAACAGCCCCTCCTCAGGCACAGAGCTGCCACTTCGGGGCTGACACCGAGTCTGGGACGGTGCCCGGCTGCCTGCCAATACCCCACCCGTGTCGGGGGCGCAGTGGTGCGCCGAGCACAGCGCACAGGGGCAGACAGCGTCGCGCCCACACGCCGCACCTCAGGAACGCGCTGGCTCTCGGCCACCGGCCTCCACGCCCCGGTGCCAGCACTGCCCCCCTCCCACTTTCACAAGCTGGTGCGTCAGGAACGGCCCGTTTAATATTTCATGACCGACACTCGATGGCCTGAATTATTCACCCCGTAACCAAGGCGCAGCGAGTGCTGGGGTCCTGGGGCTTGGAGACTGGAGGGGCCACCGCCCAGGACCCACCGGGCTGTCTCGGGGGAGGCCTGAGGCAGTGTACGCAGCTCAGGGCACCGGATCTGCCGGCAGCCCTGTTCTCCCAGTCCACCCCGCCTGGCTGGGATCCATGACCCACGGGTGCCCAGCCAGCCTGAGGAGGTCTCAGAAGGTCTGATAAGCTGGCACAGAGCAGGAGCCAGGCAGGAGGGAGAAGCTGTGCTCACAGCCTCCTGCCAGGCCCCTGGCTGACAACCCCAGCTGGCGTCCTTGGTACGGAGGGAGCGCTCAGTAACCCATACGGGAGTCACAGCCCCCAGCCTGGGAGACCCCAGAATACGGGGCAGATTTGCTGATGAGCCGGGGTGGGAAAGGGGGTCCTGGTCTTGTTCCTTTCTTCTGTGTCGACCTGGAGGCAAGAAGAATGGGCACCCTCATACGCACTGGGGTAAACTCTAAAAATATGGAGGAGGGACTTCCTTGGCGGTCCAGGGGTTAAGACTCCATGCTTCCAATGCAGGGAGTGCAGGTTCAATCCCTGGTTGGGGAACTAAGATCCCATATGCTGTGCAGCGTGGCCAAAAGATAAAAAACATATATATATATACATATATATATATATATATATATGTATATATATATATACACACAGGAACAAAGTAAATTAATGAATTTCGTCCTTTTTTTTCTTTTTTTTTGGCGGCGCTTGTGGGATCCTAGTTCCCTGACCAGGGATCGAACCCGGGCCCTGGCTGTGAAAGCGCCAAGTCCTAACCACTGGACCGCCAGGCAATTCCCAACACTAGTCTTTAAATTAATGAATTTAGATGGAGAGAGAGTGAGTTTATATAGTAGTAGAGATGACAATAACGGATAACAATGACAGTGGGTACCATCTACTGAACACACTGCTCTGTGCCAAGCACTGGGATGCGCGAAGCACACATGGTCTCTATCTACTCCTCCTAAAGACCTTACCCGGTAGGTGTCAGAATCGTTCCCCTTTTACAGATGAGGAAACTGAGGCACAGAGGGCTAGGATCCCTTGAGAGGCAGAGGGGGACCCAGTGTGAGAAGGACCTGGCGTGTGTGCCACCCACAAGTGGTGTCTCGCCTCCCATCTCTGTTCACAAAGCCGTCCACGCGTGGGGATAATGATCGTTGCTGAGACACGCTTGCAGAGCCCTCAGCAAGGCCTGGCGCTGTCGCTGTATTTTAGGATCCCTCCTCCCTGTGCCTCTGTGGGAGCACTGCTGACCTGGGGTGTCCAGGCCCCGACAAGCATGGGTCAGGCCGGGCAGCATTTCTGCTGCGGAGTCGCTGCCTAGAGCAGAGGGATGGGGTCTCGGGAGACCTCTGGCCTCAGGACCCGCCTGGCTCCAACCCATCGAGTTCTAGCCATAGTGACGCCATGGGTGACCGGTCCAGCCCCAGCCCCTACTCTTGGCCCTGGCCTCCACCCACCACCCCAACTCTGTGGCTCACTGTGCAGGGCCCCGGGGCGTTCTCTAGCACCCCCCCCAGCCTCAGTTTCCACATATGGCAAATGGGCATCACAGCTGTTGCCTCTCCAAGCCTCTTGTGAGAGACAGAAGAGGAATCTTTGAAAATTGCAAGGTTCCTCCCAGGGAAAGCAGGGCTTGGCTTCCTGGTACCACGGCCACAGCCTGACCCGCCAGCCCCCTCACACCGTCACCTCCAGGCTACCGGCCTCGAGACTGACGTGGCCACGCCCTAACAGGCGCCCCTCACCCCACCGAACACCTGCTCCTCTTGGCTACGGACAAGCACACACCAGGCCTTCTCAGCCTCCCTGGATGGGCCCTCGACCCTTGCCCAATCTCCAAATGTTGGGGTGCCCCAGGACCTCCTTTCTAAACTCACTCTGCCCCTGGTGAGGTCATCTACTTCCCAGGGGTATAGGTCACCTGTCCCAGTGCCGCTCCCCCCAGCTTGGACCTGGAGCACCTGCGGCCGCTGCACCAGCGCGCAGCTCACTCAGCCACCTGCGCATCGAGCAGCTTCTTGAATTTCACTTGCCTTTTTTTTTTTTAAATTAAAAAAACTTTTTGGGGCTTCCCTGGCGGCGCAGTGGTTGAGAGCCCGCCTGCCAATGCAGGGGACACGGGTTCGTGCCCCGGTCCGGGAAGATCCCACATGCCGCGGAGCGGCTGGGCCCGCGAGCCATGGCCGCTGAGCCTGCGCATCCGGAGCCTGTGTTCCGCAACGGGAGAGGCCACAACAGTGAGAGGCCTGCGTACCGCAAAAAAACAAAAAAACTTTTTGACCATGCACCCAGCTTTCGGGGTCTTAGTTCCCCGACCAGGGATCGACCTGCGCCCTTGGCAGTGAAAGCAAGGCATCCTAACCACTGGACCGCCAGGGAATTTCCCCTTTACCTGCCTTTACATGGAGCAAATCTCTCCACACTCTCCCTCAAACTACCTTCCCCCCTTACTGTCCCCATTTCAGTGAAGGACACCAGGCCACCCTCCCCTGAGTCTTTGGCAACACTGGACCCTTGAGTTCTTTACAAGTCTGCGTCTCCCTAGCAACCATCACATAAGGATACTTTTCTTCCTCTTGGGAACAAAGATGATATGGACAAACTGTAACTATTAAGCAAGTCACCCTGATGACACAAAAGAAACATGGAATGCTTGTAAAGGCTTGATAGAAATCTCCGTCCAAGATTGCTGCCACCTTACTGTGACCGTTGCCGCTAGGAACAAGGAGTGATCTGCCCACAGAAGCAGACTCCGGTCAAAGGACAGCATTTCCAGTGGCCCTCCCCACTGGCAATCATTTCTGCCCCAGGGGAGGTCTGGTAGGGGACGATCTCCACAAGGGTTAGATCTGGC